GGGGAAGGCAATCGCAAATCCCCTCTGAACAATCTGCCAAGACATCCCTGTGATAGCATTGCCTTAGGGGTTCCATCGATGCACAGAGCAGCAGCAGGAATAGCAACAACAAGGATGTATCTAGATCAGAAGGCCATATTTACTAATTAATATTTAGAGATGTGATTCTTTCTCTCATTCTCTTACTATCACTGTAAGAACATTTTCTGGCCGAGAACAGCATTATAACCGTAAATGCTGTTAGACACAGCTAGATATGATCTTGTTGGAGGCAGTCCTAAGCAGCCTATCTTTGTGGCCGAGGAGGAAGCTTTTATACTATTTTCAGCCTCTGTTTATTCAATTAGAGACAGTCTGTATGCCACCAATTAATAACCAATCATCTAATAGTGTCACTGATCGTCACTTGCTGTCTGCCAAGAGATGAGTGTATGAGCCTTATTGTAGATTATTGTGTTGACAGAATTAACACTATGGTACCAATGCCATTTTTTCTCTACTCCTGGATGGTATTTTTATTATTTTCTTCACCAGTTTTTTTCTATTACTTCATTTGTTTTGGTTATGGTGCCGTTATGCCCAGAACTAGATTGTAGGCTTGTATCTCTTACACAAACATTTGACTTTTACTCTATACAGAGACAGTTATGTCCTTTATTTTTAGGCTTTGGGAGCTTTACTTTTGCAAATAAAATATACCAAAATAGTGTTCATCTTGTAACATTTCCACGAAGATCCTCCTTAGATCAGGTGAGATAAGGTTCTAAAAGAATGCAAGACAGAATAGGGTTGTACACATTTCTATTATTTTATCTTATTTCTTGTGTTTGATTTTGTTTTAATTTGTTTTGTATATATTTATTTGATATTATTTGCTGTATGTATTTTGTATTTTTTATTTGTTGTAATTGTTTGGGCTTGGCCTCATGTTAGCTGCCCCAAGTCCCCTTTAGGGAGATGGTGATGGGGTACAAATAAAGGTGGTTGTTGTTGTTGTTGTTGGAAGTTTTTCGGGCTGTATGGTCATGTTCCAGAAGCATTATCTCCTGATGTTTCACCTGCATTTATGGCAGGCATCCTCAGAGGTTGTGAGGTCTATTGGAAACTAGGAAAAATGGATTTTCCTAGTTTCTAGGGTTGGAGAAAGAACTTTTGACTGTTGAAGCAAGGCATGAATGCTTCAATTGGCCATCTTAATTAGCATTTAATTGCCTAACAGTTTCAAGGTATAACTTCTTACTGCTTGGGGGAATCCTTTGTTGAGAGTTGATTAGCTATCCCTGATTGTTTCTTGTCTGGAGTTCCCCTGTTTTTGCATGTTATTCTTTATGTACTGTTATGATTTTAGTGGGTTTTTTTAAAAAAAAAATACTGATAGCCAGATTTTGTTCATTTTAATGGTTTCCTCCTTTCTGTTGAAATTGTCCACATGCTTGTGTATTTCAATGGCTTCTCTGTGTAGCCTGACATGGTAGTTGTTGGAGTGGGCCAGCATTTCTGTGTTCTCAAATAATATGCTGTGTCCAGGTTGGTTCATCAGGTGCTCTGCTATGGCTGACTTCTCAGGTTGAATTGGTCTGCAGGGCCTTTCATGTTCCTTGTTTTGTGTTTGGGTTCTGCATTTGGTGGTTCCTATGTATATGTGTCCACAGCTGCATGGTATACAGTAAACTCTTGCAGAGGTGAGAGGATTCGTCTTGCTCTTTGATGAACGTAGCAGGTGAGAATGCTTCTGGAACATGGCCATACAGCCCAAAAAACTTACAACAACCCAATGATTCTGGCCACGAAAGCCTTCAACAATACATTCAAGACAGAGTAGATTCTCAATAGCAATTCCCAGTTGCCCGAAGCAAGTGTTGTTTTCTCTTGTACCAAGATGTTCTGAGATAACATTTGGAAGTTTAGAGCTGCACAAGTAGAATCAGTTGCACAGAACCTACTGGACTAGCTGGAAAGAAAAGTTTTAAATGTTTTCTAATGAGAGAATACTGTTTATTTATTATTTATTTTATTTATGACATTTATATGCCACCCTTCTCACCCTGAAGGGGACTCAGAGCAGCTTACTAGTTATATGTAAATACTATATTATTAGCATAGCACAATATTAGTAACATACATTCCCATATTGCACACCACTATACTGTGATATTATTAGCAATATTACATGTAATATGAAATATATAATTATTCTATTGTATTATTATTACTATTATATTGTATTACATTATATTATTATAAATATTATATGTACATACAATATATTATATCATTAGCACAGCACAATATTAGTATTATATATTACTATATTGTACTATACCACTATACCAGAGGTTTAGCAGAGCTGGTAAATCATCAGCAATTATAATATCTATCAACCAAAAGGTTGCAAGTTCAAAGCCCCAGGTTGGCGTGAGCTACCAACTGTCAGCCTAGCTCATTGTTTACCTAAGCAATTTGAAAACAATTTAGCTGTGATTAGAGAAATTAGGTACCGCTAAAAGCTGGGGAGGTGTTTTACGACACCATAAAGAAAAAAGATCAGAAAATGCTGGGTGACCAAAAGGAAGGAGGAAATCCTGACGGCTCTTCGTCATAGAGGATGCAGCAACAGCACCCCCTGGACTCGAGCCCAACCTTCCATGGCACCAAAAACAGCTGAAACAAACCACCTCCTTCTGTTCTGTCTGTCTGTGTATTGTCTAAACAAAGCAGCATTGAATGTTTGCCGTGTATATGTACTGTGATCTACCCCGAGACCCCTGAGAAGGGCAGGGTGAGAAGGGCAGAATATAAATATAAATAAAGTGTTATTATTATACTGTAATATTAATATTACAATATAGTATAATAATAATAATAATAATAATAATAATATTAAATAAAATTAAAATTAAAAATATTTATAAATTAAAATTAAAGAAATTAATTAAAAAAATAAAATATTAAATAAAATTAAAATTAAATAATAATAATAATATTAATAATAATACAGTGAACACAGCTCCTGTAATATTTGAAAAAGTCCTCAAATATATTTTATTTGTATGTGAACTACCATACACGAATGTGCCACTCTGAGAGGTATAATATATGTTTGTCCTCTCTGTTTCCACTTAGTAGAAATACTGTATAACTTTTTAGGAGTGGTATTTAATATCTAGCACTGGCCAAAATCCTGCATTTGTAGACACATGTACTCCACATTGTTGGAGTAGAGATTTTTACTCTAGTCCACCAATACACATTGCAAGCAGTGCAGCCCACCAACACAAACATTTCTGTGTTGTCACAGAATAAGATAGTGGAGAGGGATGTGTCCAGCTATTTTCCTGCACAATATGCATTGTGACAGGCATCTATTGATATCTCCAGGAGTCCTCAGGAGTTCTTTGAAGATTACATCCTTGGTATAAGAAAATTGTTGAATAAATTCTTGCTGATCTCTTACAATGTAGAAATAGCTACATTGAGTACAAGGGGATTGCATTGTTAAACAAGATGGTTTGGTGGGAGGAGGTTTCATAATCAGAACAGAATTCTGAGTCCTATAATGGTTTAAAAAGTGAAGGCAGAAGTCTGATTTATCCCATTGTAATCCATCAACAGGGTGCCAGTCACAATTTTTATTATATGGAAATTTGTTGCTGGAGATGCTTGCTCGGGTATGATGAATTCAGCTTAAAATATGAATAATGTCAGTCGAATGAATTTGTTTTACATACATTTAGAGCAACAAGTAATAATGTTGTGTTTTGCCTTTCATTTAATCGCAGAAACTGAAAAGCACATAACCACAACCAGACACTTATAATAGGATAAATATGTCATAAACAAAACCAAATCTACATGGTTTGATCAGGTGATGGAGGAGCCACTGCCCCTCTGCTACCATCCCGTCTTTCTCTTTCTTTTCTTTCCTTTCCTTCCCTACCCTCATACCTTTTCCCATTTCCTTTCTCTTCCTTCCTTCCCCCCTTTTTCTTTCTTTCCCCTCCCTACTTTCTTTTCTTTCTCAATGACATCACAGGGGATCACTTCACCTACCAATAGCCTTTATGGTACAGATAGACAAACAAATAGACATAATAACGACTCTGGCACAGGCCAGTAAATGTGGTACCAGTGGTGTTCAGCACACTGGGTGCAGTGCCTAAAGACCTTGGCCTGCACTTAAACACAATCGGCGCTGATAAAATTTGCCATCTGCCAGCTGAAAAAAACACCATCTTACTGGGATCTGCACATATTATTCAATGATACATCACACAGTCCTAGACACTTGGGAAATGTCCAATGTGTCATCCAATACAGCAGCCAGCAGAGTGATCTTGTCTGCTGTGGAGTCATCTTGTTGTATTTCAAATAATAATAATAATAATAATAATAATAATAATAATAATAATAATAATTTCTTTATTTGTATTCTGCCCTATTTCCTGAGGGGACTCAGGGTGGATTCAAGCATAACAATGGCAAACATTCAATGCCTACATAAAAGACATAATACTAACATAAAATCCCAGAAAAAACCCCATATATAAAAGTAACAATAGAGCCTAACATCAAATTAAGACCTAACATTATGTAAATTAAATCTGACATCAATAAATTAAATTACACATAATTGGACAAAATTCTATAAAATTCTATAGTATTTTGATATTGATACACACACAGAGAGAGATTGTGAAATATAAAGAGAATATATTATTTTATAAGGTCAGACATACTAGAGCAGGCATGGGCAAACTTTGGCCCTCCAAAGTTCAACTTCCACAATTCCCAACAGCCGGTAACATGGCTGGGATTTCTGGGAGTTGAAGTCCAAAACACCTGGAGGGCCAAAGTTTGCCCAAGGCTGTACTAGAGAAACCAAAATTAAGGTACAACTTAAAATGAATGTGTTTTGAGGGCTACATGCTTTTTACCCCTGTGGACTGATAGCTATACGCACTCTTCTTGACTTCTACTGGTTGTGTTTTCTTTTATGTCAGTTGATGGCAGCTGGTCATGTTGGTCATCATGGTCCAAGTGCTCCACAACTTGTGGAAGTGGGCATTACATGCGGACCCGCTCCTGCACAAACCCAGCACCGGCTTATGGAGGTGATATCTGTTTAGGGCTCCACACTGAAGAAGCCCTCTGCAATACACAGCAGTGTCCAGGTACAGGAAATCCATTTGGTTTATTCTGTTAAGGTTTTGCAGAAAAGGCATAGTTTTATCATGTACTTTTTCTAGCTAGTGCATGTCCCATTTTAACTTTGTTCTTTTAGCCCCACAGCATAAAGAATACTAGGCTGAGTTACTGCCACAGATTTGAATGTGACATGCAGCCAATCTTCTTAAATCTTAAATCTAGTCCTCTAATGATGGGGTGAAAAATCTCAGGCCCAGCATCCTAAGCTCTTTCCAGTGCCCCTAGTTCATGTTGGGAAGCCTTAACTCGTGCAAGTTTGCTTTGAAGATTTCTGTCAGTGGGAGATCTCCTGTTAGCTAGAACAGAAAAATGTATAAACCCACTAGATAGCAGGAAATGTATTTTTCCTTCCTCCTATTCTGGAAGTAGCTGGAGATAATTGTAGGATGCCAAAGTGCAGCAGAACCTGAATGAACCCCTTGGCAAATAATTGGTTAAATCCTGGAAAGAAGGAACTTCCCTTTGTCATGAAGTTTCTCTGGCAGAGGGTTACTGCCATTCTTTTATCCATTATATATAACAGAACCTTTGTCCTTCACACAACAAATAGCTTTGTTTCTGTACAGGCCACATCCCACGAAAGAACTAGTCACAAAGCACCCCTTTGGAAGAGCATCATATAAAGCACGGTCCCAACCCCAAATAGGATCCTTAGCTAAATGTTGGGGTCCTGAAATACGTATTTGGCAACACTAAGTGTTTTATGAACCTCACCTAGTGGCTGTTTTAAACATTTACACAAATCTGTTGTGCTGTGTTTACAATGGACTCTGCAGAAAATGCTTCAGCTATACTTCATAAAAAAGAAAATTACCCTGTTTTGCATTATGTGCAAATGCTGACTTGTTATCAGTAAAAGTTTGTTTTCTATATAGCTATATGCCTGAGGTCAAGTAAAAAATTTCTCAGGCTAAAAGGGGAAGTGGAAAAGTTTAAGAAGCCCTGAAATAGAGTATAAGCCTAATTTGTAGAATCAGAGTAATGTTCTAAAACAGGGATCCCAAACTAAGGCCCAAGAGCTGAATAAGGCCCTCCAAGGTCATTTACCCGGCCCTTGCTCAGGGTCAACCTAAGTCTGAAACTACTTGAAAGCACACAACAACAACAATCCTATCTCATCAGCCAAAAGCAGGCCCACACTTCCCATTAAAATACTAATAAGTTTATATTTGTTAAAATTGTTCTTCATTTTAATTATTGTATTGTTTCTAAGTGTTTTTTGCACAGAAATAAGATATGTGCAGTGTGCATAGGAATTCATTCATATATTTTTCAAATTATAATCCAGCCCTCCAACAGTTTGAGGGACTGTGACCTGGCCCTCTGTTTAAAAAAATTGAGGACCTATGTTCTAAAATCTTGTAATCTGGTGATTTAATACTGGTCGTTTATAAATTAAGATTTTTTTGGTGGTGGGGGGAGAGGAACGGAGACAATATCCTAAATATATTGCTTCTTGTTTTTTGTGGCTGTTGCAGAGAGCTGGTCTGAGTGGTCAGAGTGGTCTGGCTGCAAGTCATCTGGAATCCAGTTCCGCAACCGCCAGTGCAATGTATTATTTCCTGTGGGCCACCAGTGCTCTGGGAATACCACTGAGAATCGGCCGTGTGTTTTGGATTCTAACTTCATTCCAGGTAAAATTGTTTATCTCTTCATCCAATTTCCCAATGGCAGGCCTCTCAGTAAGTTGCTATGAAGCTGATAAATGAAGAGAGGGATAGGAATAGAGCAACTGAACTAGTGCTGGGCACTATTTTAGTAGGATGGAAGTGGCAGAGGGAACAAAAAAGGATTCATTCCAGCCCTCCTCCACCCAGCCCTCCTGTGCCTCCAAATGGATTTTCCGAAACCCATTGATAGCTTTTGATCTTTTCTTGCCAGTCTCTATATTCACAATGTCCCTCAGGTGGGTTCACTGGATCGGAGTGCTTTCTTTGACTTGACATATTTGCAGAATACCAAATGATTTCTTTTTGTCTGCAAAATATCAACATGTAGCAACACTTGAGAAATGCTGCCTGAACATGTTTAAGAACTTTTTGTCCCAAACCGATTAGGGAAAACATTATTTGAAGAAGTCTTCATTTCATATTCAGTTTCAAAGGTTTATTTTGGGCTGGATGATTTTTAAATGGATTCAGAAAAATTGTCATTCAGTGCCAATGCTTCCTAACGGAATTATTTCCATCGCAGATATAACAGTGGCAAGAACCAGGAGCGTCAAAGAGAAACGATGCGGAGGTAAGGATCCCTGCCTCTTTCCCTCAGTAATAATTTCCTGTTTCCTGCTTCTCTCTCTCTATGCTTTTATACTATTTCTCCCACTTTCACTCTGCCAATGCATAAATGCCAGTTCCATTATTTTTTTCATCCCAAATTGTGGCATTTTTTATCCTCAAGCATCAAATTCAAATGGAAGACATTCCAGAGTGGAGGAGTTCCAATATATTTCTGTGATGTAGGATGTTGACTGGTATCTTTAAAGAAGCATTTGTTACACATTACTTGTTATTTTTAAAAAGGTAACATGTTACTGTTGCTCGTTATTTGTGGAATGGCAAGAGTGAGTTTTAGAGGGATTATTTAGAGTTATCACAGGATGTCTATGCCTAACACTGCTGGAGAAATTATACTGTTTAGCCGGTATTGTACCATCTCATATTCATCCAGAAGTAGCAGCCAGTAGTGAAAGGACCAAGGTAGTGACATCTCTGGCCCATCTTCTGTTCAGATGTCAGCTAGCAAGGCAATGCCTTAAATCAAGAAATAGCTTTCTAAGTTCTAAAGAGATATTCAGAGGAACACCTCAGCAAGCAAGAGTCCAAAAGTGGCATGTTAAAATCTGGAACCTCAATCAGTGACTGGTACCAGATGAGACGCTCCCTCCTGGGCACACAGAAGACTGGGCGACTTGGAAGGTGCTGAACAGACTGTGCTCTGACACTACGAGTTGCAGAGCCAGCCTTCAGAAATAGAGCTACAAAGTGGAGTCCACAACATGCAAGTGCAGAGAAGAGCAAACCATAGACCACTTACGTACAATGCAGTTTGAGCCCTTCCACATGCACAATGAAAGACCTTCTTACGGCCACACCAGAGACACTTGAATAGCCAGCTTCTGGTCAAAGGAAATTTAGCATAATGCCAAGTTTTAAACTTGTTTGTGGTTTTTTAAAATGCAGAACTCTTCCAATCCAAAGTAATTTGGATAAAGGATGCTCAACCTGTAAGATACTATAAGAGATAAGAATTAGTTTGGAATAGCCAATTTCAATCCTTGATGAAATCACAACATAAAGACTCCACTAGCATCCTACAGATAATTCTGTGTGGGCATATGGAACCTTTTCCAAAACGTTTCGTTAAAACTCCTTGCTTTGTTTTGTCCAGTTAGACTCCCCACCAAATGAAACATTTTCTGTACAAATGGGACTTAGGAAGAAAGGACACTTCCGGAGAAGAAAGTTGTTTTCTGGCTACTTCATTTCAACCTATAATTTAGAAAATAGTGGTGTATAGATCTGTGAGCTGTTCAAAATGAACACCTTCCTGAAATAGTTGAATTCCCCATTTCACAACATAGGCAATACCCTGAAAATATTGTTTCAAGAGCAGTGACATGTCTATTTTCAGACTCTCATTTGGAAACTTTTGCTCAGTTGAAGCTTACGGACTCCTGTGGAGACTACACGGGATTGCTGCTTGTTCTTTCCTTAAAATAAAAAAGAACTATAAAAAGAAGGGTGGATTCTCAAAAATATAACATTCAGCATTTCTCCCTCTTTTAATATGCTTGCATGCCTCACACAAAGCTCTGGCAACAACTGAGCATAAATATGGAATATGAAAGTGATGTGGCATCAAATGCCATCTGTAAACAACATTTGGTAATTGTGTTATGCTTCATTCATCTTACAGAGTTCAACATGTTTCACATGACTGCAGTGGGGCTCAGCAGTTCCATCCTTGGGTGCCTTCTGACACTTCTGGTTTACACCTATTGCCAGCGATATCAGCAGCAGTCCCACGACGCAACCGTCATCCATCCAGTGTCTCCCGCACCTCTTAATACCAATATCACTAACCATATCAACAAGCTGGACAAATACGATTCTGTGGAAGCTATCAAGGTAATGATTGAATGCAGGTGGTCTTTTATAAATTGCAAATCTATGGGTTCTTTTGAAAATTACAGTCATCTACACAAGGGTAACACCATTTTTGTTATCCAAATTTTTAAAAAGGAGTTAGTTACAGGTATAAAGCCAAGAGCTCTCCAGAAGTAGTTCTGTTGTTATGAAACCTTTGTAGTTCTACTGCTGTGGATTTTTCTTGGAACACTACATTTGTGTAAAAAAGAGTGCACAAAGAGCACGGTGCCCATTGTTCATTCAGTTGTGCAACTGTGCGATCCAGCAAAACTCTGTTGGCATATATTTACAGTGCACCAGAAGTGTATAGGAGCTCAGCTATTTTAAAAAGTTACTTATTTGCATTCATTCTTTCTTCAAAAGTAATTAATGCCCCACCTACACTGCCATTTTAATGCAGATTGAACTACATTATATGGACAATGTACTCATACAATACAGTTTAGCTGCATTGAACTGGATTATGTCACCATATAATTCAGTTTAATCTGTATTGTAATGGCTGTGTAGATGGGGCTAGGATGACTACTTTTTAGTTACTTAAAATACATGCCTGAATATAAGAACTCATGTACCTTAAGTGTTTTAAGGGATCTTAATAGTTTTTAATTCTAATTTAATCTCTGTATGTTGTGGATTTTAAATTGCACTTTTTAGTGTTGTGGACCTCTTTGCATCGCAATCTAGAGATAAAATGGATCATCACCATCATCATTTCTTACTTCTAACCCATGTGTTTGGATTTACTTCTCATGTCATTTTGCTGTGTAGAGATTCTGTGGCAGTTTGAGATGCCTCTCTGATTGTAAAGAGGCTCAATGGTAGAGCAGAGCCTTTGCCTGTAGAACAGTGGTTTCCAACCTGTGATCTGTGGACCACCAGTGGTCTGCAAGAACTAAATTATGGTCGATGGCCTCACCATTACTACACCATTACGACAAGAGTGACTGGTCTCATGAAACCCTCTTATAGGTCAAGGTTTATTAAATATGGCTTTCTGTGGGTGAGCAGATGGCAACTACTGGATGGTATATGTTCTGTATAAGAAACTAGGGCTGATGTGGTCTATCCAATGCAATTTTCTGAATCAGTAGCCCAAATAACCAAACCGAATCTAAAGTTGACCAAAAACTGTTTCATTACCCTGTTGATACTAATGTTGGCAAGTGGTCCCTGGTCAAAAAAAGGTTGGGAACCACTGCTGTAGAAGGTCCTAGGTTCAGTTCCTGTCATCATCAGAAAGAGTAGAAAATCTTACTGGATGACAAACTGAGTGAACTGATTTTTTTTACGAAGCACTATTTTGGCAATGGGATATATGAAAGGAAAAAAGGAAACACACCAGCAAATTATAGATAATGAGTTGCAGTATCATGTAAGTGTCGCTACTGTATATCCTGAATTCATATATCCTCTGAGGATGCCTGCCATAGATATGGTTAAACATCAGGAGAGAATGCTTCTTGAACATAGCCATACAGCCTGGAAAACTCACAGCAACCCAGTGATTCTGGCCATGAAAGCCTTCGACAACGCATAAAAATTCCCTTGTTTAATGATGTCATTTTTTGCCGGTCAAGCGAGCGCTGCGGCACAAAAGCTGGCCATTTTAACTGTTACCATTGGATTCTGATCTCCCAGCAAATAGTGTGTGTAAAACTCATCAGTTCTTCCAGGAATGCTTTGTAGAATTGGGTGGATAAAAGTATGACAGAAGCCACTGTAGAAGGAACAATGTAACAATATAGGTCTTATCATCTCCAGTGAACCAACACCACAAGGACATAAGTGTGCATCGTAGGGGACATTGTTATACCTTCCTTCTAATAAGGCTGAAGGTAATACATTAAATTTTGCTGGGGTGAATGATTTTCTATATTTTGGAAGATTTAAAATCTTAAAATGACTTACTAACATGAAAGACTGACCACTGTCTCTGAATTCAGGATATACAGTAGCTACACTTACATGATACTGCAACTCATTATCTATAATTTGCTGGTGTATTTCCTTTTTTCCTTTCATATATCCCATTGCCAAAATAGTGCTTCGTAAAAAAAATCAGTTCACTCAGTTTGTCATCCAGTATTTTTTTTCCATCTTTAATAGAACCCGTCGGTTAATAATAAGGAAACCAATTCCACAGGGGTAAAAAAACAAACAAACAAAAAAAAACACTTTAAACCAGAAATTTAATTTAAGGATCCATGCCCAGGACTCAGTTGACATTTGTATCTCCCGTATTACTTTACTTCTTTCTTGTGTAAATAAAAATGTCCTCTCTCTGAAAAATTTAATGACTGGTATCCAGTAGAGATAACTAAGTAGCTGAACTAGGATTTCAGTGAACATATTTACATATATTTTTAAGTAGCTATCTACCTGAGTTTGGATTTCATTATGTTAATGGGAACTGTGTACTAATTGAGGTTTTATTTTTATTTTTCTCATTTTGTTACCAGGCATTCAACAAAAATAATTTGATCCTGGAAGAACAAAACAAGTACTTTAATCCCCATCTTACAGCAAAGGCCTACTCCAATGCCTATTTTACAGATTTGAACCACTATGATGAATATTAAAAAGAGGTACTATTTTCTACTGGAGTGCAAGTCATTACCGCACAGTCAAATGTACTTGTGTCATGTTACTGCCCCCTTTGCTGCAGAAGAGTCAAAGGCTCTTTTCAAAGTTTTGTACTTCAGTACAATAATTTGTACTTCCTAATTATACTCGACCTATGAACAAGAAGTGGGCCATTTTGTATAGGTCAACTGGCTTGGCTCAGTGTTCATCCAACATATCATTTGTTTCAGCTTTTCACAATTGTCTAAAGCTGATTAAGGACCGTCACCCAACTTCCATGGGATAAAGCTTTGCTGCAAGCGGGAGACTACAAAAAGAACAATAGATTATTGAATGGAATTACACCCAATTGTCTGCCAGTCAAGCCTTCAGAGCTCAGCCTGTATTTTGAACTTCATGAAGCTGTTTTGAAGTTCAAGAAGAGTACTTTATGGTGAGGCTTCAGGCTACCTGCGGTTTGCAAAACAGATGCAGGAGGGCGAGGCAAACACAGGCATAAATGGTGGAATAAATAAAAAACATGCACAATTCATCTGTTTCAGCCTGCCAGGACAGGAACATCTGTGTAAAGGAAGCAGCAACTGGCTCATTGAATTATTCCTGTGAGCTGTTGATACATAGATTTGTGCAAAATGTACACTTCTAATAGTAGAAGTGCAAGGAATCCCACCTGGATTATTTGTTACAAACCAACCAGTTGACTTGTAGTTCCACCATTTTATTTATCTCGTCCTGCAGAGGTGTACACAGAAAGCGCAAAGAATAAGTAAATGGCATGAAGTATAATGAGTAATGTTACAACAGTTTTGATGTGGGCAGGGCTGCAGTCTGTACCCATTGGTCGGAGAATTAGCCTCACTGAGCTTTGTGGGACCTACTTCCCAGTACACACACACTGGACTGAATCTTGTCCTCGTGCCCATGCTGTGTAAATAATTGAAGGGCTTAGCTGTGCAGAAAGGTGGTTTTAGTCCTGACAGGTACAACACTGTCAGGAAAATAAAAACATCTGGCTCCACATTTGCTGTGAGTTCACTGCCCTGTTGTTTGGGGTTTTTTTAAATCAATATATTTCAATGAACTTGAAGCATTAGGTTTTAGTGCTTCAACAAACCAGTGACTGAAAAATGTACAGTTTGAATGTTTCTTCCTAAAGGAAATACCAAATAAGATGTTGCATATTTTAGTAGCACAAAAAAAGACGAAGAAGAATGGGTGGGTGGGGGAGGCAGGAAGCCTGGGCTGTGTTTTCTGTGGATGTTTGCATTGCATGCTTGATCTTGGGCTCTGTTTGTACAGTCTGCTGCTCCCTTTTTCGCTTGCTCCAAGCACACGAATTTGATGCTTAGTGCCTCAGGCCAATGGCTTGCACTTTATGCCAGCAGTCCTTATGCTTGTATCCATACGTTGAAGGCCTAATATAGCAGAATAAGAACATCTCCATTCAGGTTGAGTATCCCTTATCTGAAATGCTTAGAAGCAGAAGAGTCTGGATTTTTCATATTTTGGAACAGTGTTTTTTCCCTATGGGTACGTTGTGAGATATCGTGGACCCAAGTCTAACCATTTTCAAATGTTTTATAGAAACCTCATTCACTTAACCTGAAAGTAATTGTTATGAATAATACTTTAAATTTTGTGCATGAAACAAAATCCGTGTACATTGGACCATCAAAAAGTAAAAGCGTTCCTTTTTCAGCGATCCATGTGGACATTTTCAGATTTTGGGGTAGTTAAGAATCTGGAGAAGGGATGCTCAACCTTTGTAAGTGGCTTCCTCCCTACTTGGGTCTATTTATCTCCATGCACTTGCAAGACTTCATTGGGTCTTTAGAAATGGTTGAGCTCTAAGTAGGAGATGTATGGGACTTTAGATTTCATTTGTGTCTTAGAAAATACTAACGTTGGAAAGTCTGTTTGGACTGTAGGTCCCAAAATCCCCCAGCCAGCACAGCCACTATCTATGCTGCTGGATGATTCTGGGAATTGCAGTCCAAAAAAGAAACTTTTCCAAGTTGTGGTAGAAGGCATTGCTTTTCTGCTTTCTGACTCTTTCCTGTTTTTTATACCAAGAGCTGGATAGAGAACTGTGGTATGCAATGAGGCTGAATGAAAAGCACCCAAACTTGGACAGGAAATAAAAAAGAAAAATGATAGCTGCACCAGTATTTTAAGTGGTTACATGTGCTGCAGGGAAAAAAAGCTTGCCCTCAACAGCTTTTACTAAGATGTGGTTTCACAAAAACCTTATTAAAAGTTTTCCCCAAATGGATTGAAAGCCATCTGTACTTGCGCAGCTATTTTGGGTATGTCTGCCCATGGCTGTATTGAGTCTGTGTTTGTAAAGACTCTTCAGAGCATACGAAGTACCAGCCCTAAGAGCTGTGATCATGCAAAAACCCTACAGGCAGACATCCTTTTGTTGCAGTTGGAGTCTCTGAGGTCAGGACTGATCTAAGTGTCTAGTTGAATTGGAGACACAAGGAGAGCCCAGGAGAGCTTTGAATCCAGAGATTCACCTTGCTTTTCATCTCACTCCGTGGGGAAATTGAAAAGCCCAAGCTCTGTATAGGATCCATTAGAGATTGGAGCTCTGCTTCTGACCATGGATGGTGGAGTATCCCACAGCTCTTTGGACATTGCTCCAAGGGTCAAAAACCTGGAAAATCATGGCCTGTTTTGTTTGCTTCTAAATTTCAAGAGCTATGAAAATAGTCTCCATTTCCTTCCCCTTAGTCCCTAGAATGTTTTAAACATTCCTTTCTGTAGAATGATAGCTGGCACTCGTTGTGTTAACAATGAATTCATCCTTCTATGATGCTCACCCACCATCCAGGTGAAGGCTGTTTTCTTTCATAACATGTCCTGGTAATTTTTTTAAAAAATCTTTAATGCATGATAATGAGAACTATTGCGCCTTGCAGGCTCCATTCCAACCTTTCACCATACCTGCCCAGAGTTAAGGAAACCTAATCATATCACTGCATTTTAAATGCACATAAATCTGTTGGATGTCTTCAAAGCCCATGGCTAAACATTTTCCATTATCTTAGTCATGATTACATCTGTACTGCGCCAGAGTTTGGTGCATTTAAAGGGTTTAGTTTCCGTGCAATTGACCAACCTAGCTCTTGTCATACTTCCTGTGTAATACAAGTACAGGATTTGAGCAAGTTTCTTTTTTCTCCCTAATCGCCTGAATTGTCTAGGCTTCCTAAATCCTTGAGTAGACTGAAACTTGTTTCAGTTCAACAGAAGTCTCTTGTTATTCATGACAGGAGAAACATTTTCCTGTAAACTATCACCCTGTATCTGCATTCAACAAAATATGTTCTCCCAGCATTTTGTAGGTCCCCCAAAACAACACTGATATTCTGGAGCCAGAGGTTCTTCTTTTACTATTATCTGCAGTTGTGTGTATTAATGCGAAGTCCAGAAACAAATCCCCCACATATAGTTGTACTGTATTCTGACATGTAAACTAAAATGTGCCTGCTTTCCTTCATATATATACTGCAAACTATTTCAATACAGAACTGGAAATGGGCATGCATTCCAGCATGGACTCTGCTACAGAGCAGCAGATATTTTCTCCACTCCCTGGCCATATATAAATCCTGAAAATAAGACTGCGCAATGAGTGCAGTTGGTTTATAAAAGGAGAGAAGGCTGTCCTGGGGTCTCTAGAGAGAATTCCAAAATCTGGGAGTAGCCAACAAGAAGGCCTCCTCTCTCGTTCCCATCAAATGAACCTGAGAAGGAGTTGGAACAAAGATTTTTCAAAATGACTTTAGAATTCTTATGGGCTCATACAGGACTCATAAGTTTTATCATTGGTCAAAATCCACAATGTGACCAGCAGCCAGCTTTTGCTACAAGGTTGTTGCGTGCTAGCCAGCTCACTTAGCAACCTGACAGAAACTCTTTGGACTTAGGTTCCTGAGCACTTTTCAAAGGCAGCCCTATATAGAGCACATTGCCATAGTCCAAATAGGATGTAACCTCATTTCCCCTTTTTCCAGTTTGAGAAATGGGTGGCCTAAATGTTGTTTGCTGGCAACTCCAATCTGTCCCAACCATCTTCTCTTCCCTCCCTTTCATCCAGCTGTGCAGGCTAAGTGTAGCTTTCTGTCAGTGGTCAATTTAAACTTCTGACAAATGCTGTCCTTCTTCAGCAGCCCTCTGAGCAGTATCAGAAGGACCTGTGGCATAATGTAAAATAAACCACGTGTAGTTCACGTTTGATCAGCCCACACACTGCCTTGTCAGAGAAAGAAAATATGCCATGCAGATGAACAATAAAGAACATGTATACTTTTCGTTATTCAGAACATATTTACAATCATGTGTTCAGTTGCATCGACTCACTTTTATGAGAGATTGAAAATGGTCTTTTTTTGTCCATGTGAATACGTTTCTTCAGCAGCTCATAAAGCAAGAGCTGTCTCTCCCTACCTCATTCTGTGAGCACCTGCATAGTTCAAGCCTGAAAAATGTAATAGCATCCAAAAGTTCCAGGCTCAGCTATCTCCCCAGGCGTAGCCCGACCAATCAGTTTCATGCATCTTATTTTACAGTTGACACACAAACACTGATTTCTTACATGCTCCAAAAAAACTGAGTTGGTAGATGAATAATCAGATGTAAGTTGACTCAGCCCATTTTTTCCTCCCCTCTACCACCAGCCTTCCCCCTTGGATTGACTCTTGGAACATGTGGCCTTCTACTGAAAATAATGTTCTTCACTCTTGTTTAGGGCTCTTTCATATCTACAGATGGAGATCTGCAAAGCTAGCTTCTCTTGCAGATCCTTGGGCAAAAGAGAAGTGACCATTCCCAGGAGCCTCTTTTTATTGCTTAGAATTGCACATGTAACAAAAAACCCAATATGTAACCCAGAGATTTGCTGTTGTGAATTACCATCCTCACTAGAGGAAGACAACTTCTGCAGTTGGGAGCTGCATGTGTTTCCTCTTCTGCAGCACCATCTAGTTGACCTTTGGAGCTCAGACATCAAGTTTCCACGTTGTTCCTTCACACTCCTGTGTGTGGGAGACTCTGGGCATCACTCTTCTCACTTGCCACACGTAAGTTTATCTTGTTGCTAGGCTACTGGGAATTTATCCCCCAGCCTTTAAGTAGTGTTTTGGGGAAATGTTTCATTTATATTTAAAATAACTCTTTTCTGCAGTACATGGAATAAATATTAAAAGAATTCAATTTGAGAAGCCTTATTATATATTTAAACATAATTAGAGTTCTGATTGAGTTGTCTAAATGATAGAGCTAGTATGTCAGAAGATTTCCTTCCCAAAGAGAAATGCCTTCAAATTTGTTTGATAGGCATGAAACGCATGGGACATCCGCTCCTTTCTTGAAGCAGGACTGAATGTTAAAGAAAAGACTGCTCTTCCCATAAAGTAGTATCAAAAGAACATATGATCCATGTTGGATCAGACCAAAGGCTTATTTCATTTGGTGTTCTGTTCACATGTGAGAATTCTGAGAGACGCACAAACATGACTTGAGTGCCGCAGCAATTTCTCATTTGTGTTTCCCAGCCAAAGTTACATAGAGGCAGACTGCATCTGACACTGGAGGTGGGACATAGACATCCTAAACTGTAGACATCAATGGCTACATTCCCCCAGAAGGTTGTGTAATACTTATTGTGGAAATAAAATGCACAGTTGAACTATGTGTTCTGTGAAGTAGTAATTCCTTTCATGTGTTCTGCACACTCAACTTCATTGTGTGACTCTGGTTCTAATACTATTAAAAGAGATCAGCTTCAATCCCCAGCACACATCATTTTGTATACTTTTCCCATTGTGTATCCTTTTTTTCCTCCCTGAACATGCTGAGATTTAACAGTAACCTTGGTCTTGTGCATTCAAGGAACACCTATCAAAAGCAAAACCCACATCTTTTTAAATGGCAAGCTGAAAGAAAGATGGTTAGATTTGAGCTTCATAAGAAGTTGGAGAGAGCCAGGTGAAAAAGGAGTCTTTTGCCTTGACTGTATGGGGAGGGAGGTCTCTTTGGCGTTGCTCTACAAGTGACATTGCCTTTGTATACCATCGCACCTTGCCACTGTTTGTCAACTTGTAAATTTGTAAATAAACTGATTATTAACAGAGATGTCCTGAGTCTTTCAAAACACTTATCTCAACTTCTCCATCACATGGGAAAAAGTATGCTGTACTAAGTATGTTATGACAATGCCTGCTATGTCTGATTGGTACGATATATCTTCTTTCTCTCCCTCTTTCATATTATTTCTCTTTTACTACTGCTGCAGAAGAACAAGATAGTTAGAAACAATCTGATCTTACAAAAATAGTTCTAAGAAATGGCATTCTTTTTTTTAATTCTATTATCAGTTCAGGGCAGATGCGCCGTCATCAGTGTCCATAAAATCTGAGGTCTAACACAGTGCAATCCATCACCTTTACAGTTACAGATCCATAAAATACCCAAATATACTATTATTAGCATTTTGAAGGGTACACGAAAAAGGAACATGAAATTAAGGTTACAGAGCTCTTTCCTTAACATCTTCAAAACATGTTCTCCTTTAAAACAATCTTTGGCATCAGGAAATAATAAATCTAAATGAGACTGACTTCCTTAAACTGTCTCTGTGCTTGTTCTGCAGCATTGACATACAATAATGCTTACTTCTATCTTTAAGCACCATTGTATGTCAATGCTGCAGAACAAGCAACCTGTATCTTTTGGAGCCCCCAGTGGCACAATGGGTTAAACCAGTGGTTCCCAAACTTATTTGGCCTACCTCCTGGAAATCAATTTTTCTAAGTCTTTTCTGCTTTCTTTTATGCTTTCACCGCTCCTTAGAGTTATTCATCGCCCCCAAATGCACCTGTGGCCACTACCGCCCCGCCCCCCTTGGATCGCTGCAGCGGCCACCGGGGTGGTAGCGCCCACTTTGGGAATCACTGGGTTAAACCCGTGGTGCCAGCTGAACTAGTTGACCAAAAGGTTGGCGGTTCAAATCCTGGGAGTGGGGCGAGCTCCAGCTCCCCATATGGGGACATGAGAGAAGCCTCCCACAAGGATGATAAAACATCAATAATCCGGGTATACTCTGGGCATGTCCTTGCAGATAGTTCTCCCACACCAGAAGTGACTTGCAGTTTCTCAAGTTGTTCCTGACACAATAAAAAAAACTATCTTTTGCAGTTAAAGTGCTGAAATAAGCTGGGCCTTTCCACTTGATCAGATAATATTTCGACAACACAGTCAAAGAAGGGGAAAAAATTAACACAAAGCTTGTTTCAGAGTTTTAAAACCCTTACTGTAAATCAAAATACAGTAGTTTGCATATTCATAGAAGCCCTGGGCATAATCCAGGCAATTTTAGTACTTCCACCTCCTGGTTTAAAATGATCGTTAACCATATGCTTAACTCCCACAAAAATCCTTTGCATTGTACTCATTGCTCTCAAAGCCACGACCAGGATTCCAACCTCAGAACAGAAAACTAGTGTGGTGACTTTTCACATATAGAATTAATTTCAGATTATCACATGCCCCTTTGATGCTGTAGTTCCAAACATGGTGTGGAAAGATTGTTTTTCTTTCAAAGAAGTCAGTCTGAAAATGTAATATTCCTTTTTGGTTTTAAAATTTCTGTATCAATTACAACTGGAACATTTATATCAACCTCTCATTTCTGCAATGATTTAAAACACATTTCTTTTAAAATTGGACCACTTTGATTCCAACTTCTACATAACAGTATTAAGGCCACAAACTGTCTGCTTATTTGGAAGTAACTCCTGTTGAACTCAGGAAGACTTAAACAGATAAGGTAAAGATTTCCCTGACACTAAGTCCAGTTGTGTCCAACTCTGGGGGGTGGTGCTTACCTCCATTTCTTAGCTGAAGAGCCAGCGTTGTCCGTAGACACCTCCAAGGTCATGTGGCCAGCATGACTGCATGGAGCACCGTTACCTTCCTGCAGAAATGGTACCTATTGATCTACTCACATTTGCATGTTTTCGAACAGCTAGGTTGGCAGAAGCTGGGCCTAACAGCAGGAGCTCACCCCGCTCCCCGGATTTGAACTGCCAACCTTTTGGTCAATAAGTTCAGCAGCTCAGCGGTTTAACCTGCTGCATGACCATGGGGCTTAAGTAGATAACTCTGCTTAATTAGTCAAATGTGAAGTTGATATATAGCAGCAGAAATATGCAAACAGATAATAAATATGTTATAAATAGCTGTGTGCAATACTTTTTTTCTCATAAACTTTCGATTTTTGAAATGAAATAATTAGGTTCTAAGGAGAGAGATAAGTGAAATAATTAGCAAGAAAATTCTTCTATTACACATCGAACCTTCTACACTATTTAAAAAAATTCTATTGAATCTCTCCACTTGCCTATCTGGAACAAACATTATATGTAGAGAAGAATGTCATTATACCTTTTCCCTCAGATATGTCCATTTAGGGCCTCTTAAAATCCCTGTAACCATGTTTATTTTACTCAGTACTCCAAACCAAAATAAAGTCAATGCCTCAAATTTTATACAGAAAAAAGGCACTGACAGAAGCTGAATTATTGAAAAGATACGAGGCACCAACTGATGTCATTCCTGGGTTGTGAAAAGGCTATCTGAATGACAGACAGACACTTTGTTAAATTAAAATAACTCCAACTGAAGGTCAAGGGACTGGCACCAGTTCTTACGCCCAGACGTCTTGCAGATACCTCTTTTCCTCTCTTAACGTAGCCAAAATGTTTAGGGCATCCAGTTTATCAACTCCTTTCTCCGCAATTAAGATGTCTACTAAAGCATCATTTACATCTTTAGCCATATTTTTGGCATCTCTGAAAAAGAAAAAAAAAGTACACATAAGCTACCCATCAGAAAAAGAATGAATTGTAGGAGTACCAACATCGAGTAAAAGGTAGGATAAAATATAATAAATTAACAATAAATAAGATGAATGCTGACTCAAGCACCTTCAAGTTACTTAACAAAGCCATGTCATACTACCCTGCAGCCCTGCAAGAATAGCTATAAAGACTAATCTCCTCCTCTCATCTTAATTCAAAAGGCAACCACTATAGTCATGCCAATTTAATCAGATTTTAAAGGTGGAGCAAATTTCTATTCATTCATTCATTCATTTATTTATTATTTACTATATTTTTACCCTCGAAATAAATAAATAAATAAATACCCTGCTCTTCTCACCCCGAAGAGAGCTCAGAGCGGTTTCCAAGTGGGCAATATTCAATGCCATACAACAACAGATACAATATAAATAAATATAAAACATTAAAAATTCTAGCACATGAACCTTCTAGGACTGTAAGATCGTCTGGGGAGGCCTTGCTCTCGATCCTGCTCTTGTCACAAGCCCGGTTGGTGGGGACGAGAGGGCCTTCTCAGTGGTGGCCCCTCGGTTATGGAACGCCTTCCCTAGGGATAACAGATCGGCCCCCTCCCTTTTAACATTTTGGAGAAAAGTCAAGATTTGGCTTTTTGAGCAAGCGTTTGCAAGTACAGTGTAACTTATATAGGAAGATGGAAGGATTAGACGATGTGATTGGCCAATGTTTTCAGCAAGGAGACGCTAATGACATATGTTTGTTATTGACTTTGCTATGGTTTTATATTATTTTAATGTTTTTTATTGTATTTTATGGTCTTGGTATTGACAGCGAACCGCCCCAAGTGACCTGCGGGCTGAGAGGGATGGTATATAAATATAGTAAGTAAATGAATGAATGAATAAATAAAACATTACATTAATACAGTAAAATCAGGTATTAAAACCACACAAATCTGAGGTCAGAGTCCAGGGGCCATTCCACATGTACTATGTTTACTTCATTGCTGCTTATTGCACTTGGTCCCATAGCCAAGTTTTCAGTTTCTTTCTGAAGGTCAGGAGGGAGGAAGCTGATCTAATTTCACTGGGGAGGGAGTTCCAAAGCTGAGGGGCCATCACTGAAAAGGCCCTGTCTCTCATCCCTGCCCGTTGCTCCTGTAAAGGAGATAGGACAGAGAGCAGGGCCTCCCCTAAGATCTTAACCTCTGCTATTATTATAGCTGGTTTGATTTCAGCTGTAGTTTCAAATTGTTCAGTCTCTCAAATATGGTTTGTATTCATTGCATATGGGTTACACCTAAGTGTATGTGACATTGATTACAAAAGCTTACCATCAAAATTTCAAAAACTTAACGTAAGGAAGACACTGCTTTTGCTCAGCTCCTTTTCCCTTTTGCAGAGGAACACTCCAGTGAAAACTGTCCACTGGGGGTTTGCAATCAGCAAAATGCTTCTACTTTATTGATTTCTTGCTAAATTAATGCTTTGAAGATCTGATCAGGATTAGACTTCCCCACCAATCGGCTGTCTGCTGAATACCATCACTCTCCAAAATGTTTGAGGTTCACTTGCTCAAACGACTGACAGGTTTTTGCAGACTGTATGTCCCAAAACCTTCAAAACAGATGCCGAAGGAGTTTTGGCCTCTCAGAACAAAAGTGCTGGTTGTGATGTTTCTGACTTTAAGGATCCCAAAGCTAAGCAGGTCTTGATGAGCTTAAAGGTCACGGCTCAATACAAGTGCTGATGATGCCAGTAAAAGGCAGTATGTCTCACAAGCTTGGAATTCTACAATCTTTGGACAATTTATTTCTCCGAGGTATACTATTTTGTTTCCAAGGGTTCCTGAGATGGGATTATTTATATTTATTTATACACAGGGAGTAATGCAGCCAAAGTTCAGCACTGAACTCTCACTGATAGAGAAAAATATACTGAGCAGTCTTAATTCTCAGCACCTGGAGTGAAAGGGCCATAAAAGTAGTAAACTCTAAAACAGAAATGTGCAACTTTTTTAGCTTTAAGGGCTGCATCTGGTGTTAGTTCTGTTGCCAGCAATATGCCTGAATGTGCATAGGCAGACACACAGGCAGACATGCCTCTCTTCTCACTGGCACAATCTTCAACAGAATGCAAAGGGATCTCATAGGAGAGACTCTACATAGAGGCCACAGTGGGGCAATGGGTTAAACTTGTGCGCCAGCTGCGCCCGTACCTTGGGAAGTCTGACTTGGCCACGGTGGTCCATGCTCTGGTTACATCCCGCATAGATTACTGCAACGCGCTCTACATGGGGTTGCCCTTGAAGACTGCCCTGAAGCTTCAGATGGTCCAGCGCTCGGCAGCCAGGTTGCTAACGGGAGCGGCACTKAGGGAGCATACCACTCCTCTGTTGAGCCAGCTCCACTGGCTGCCAATCTGCTACCGGGCACAATTCAAGGTGCTGGCGTTAGCCTATAAAGCCCTAAACGGTTCCAGCCCCACTTACCTSTCCGAACGCATCTCCACCTATGAACCGACTAGGACATTAAGATCGTCTGGGGAGGCCCTACTCTCGGTCCCGCCTGCGTCACAGGCGCGTCTGGCGGGGACYAGGGACAGGGCCTTCTCGGTGGTGGCCCCTCGGCTATGGAATGCCTTACCTGTAGACATCAGACAGGCCCCTTCGTTGTTGGCATTTTGGAGGAAGGTTAAGACTTGGCTTTATGAGCAAGRGTTTGGCTAAACAGTGCAAATGAACACAGGAAGACGGTAAAATTGAACATAGGAATGGCACAAGGATTATGAGAACGGATCTGATTTCATTGAGGCGTTATGACATGATTTGTTAATTGTTGTTGATTTTGTTTGTTGCATATGATGTGTTTTAATTGCCTATGACATTGTTTGATAACCTGTATTGTGTAAACCGCATTGAGTCGCCTGACTGGGCTGAAAAATGCGGTATAGAAATAAAGCAAATAAATAAACTCTTGTGCTACTGAACTGCTGACATGAAGATCGGCAGTTTGAATTTGTGGAATGGGGTGAGCTCCCACTGATAGCCCTAGCTCCTGCCAACCTAGTAGTTTCAAAACATGCAAATGTGAGTAGATAAATGCCAAATGTAAACCGCCTCGAGTCGCGTCCGAGCTGAGAGGGGCAGTATACAAGTATAGTAAATAAATAAATAAATAGGTATCACTTCAGAAGGAAAAGACGCTTCAAATAATCTTGCCGGCCACACAACCAGGAGGCAACAATGCAGGCTCCTCAGCTTGAAAATGAAGAAGAGCATCTCCCCAGAACCAGAGATGAGCACCGCCAAAGCCAGAAATGAAAGGAGAAGCCTTTGCCTTTGTCTGTGTTGTGTGTCTCATTGTATGTGAATGTTTGCCTTTTTCTGCTTTATATATATTGTAATCTGCTCTAAGTTCTTTCAGGGAGAAGAGTGGAATATATATAAAGTGTATTATTATTATTATTATTATTATTATTATTATTATTATTATATTCTGGACAAACATGGCATGTCTTCCAATCTTTGGTAGATAGGGATGGACGGACTGAAACCTACCATCAGTACCTTGAGATCGTGGCCCACTGAGTGTTCTCTGCTATCTTCCTGCTATTGGTAGCAGTCTTGGCATTCGGTTTTCACCTCCTGTTCCCCAGCAATGCCAATGGTGCTAATGTCAATCCGTGAGCACCATTTTGTCAAAAGTGAAAAAAATGTGAATGGTCATGGACTTGACACCTCTGGTTTAAATAATGTCCACTAAAATAAAAGCAAACCTTGAAAGGCCTAATGGGTGAGGGTTCATCTAGTTGCAGCGGGCCAGGCATCTAGCCGGGGGGGGGGGGGGGCTTGAGGGACTTCTCAGGGTGGTCCGCGAGAAGGCCTTATTTAAACTATGTTTATTCATATCATGATCTGATCACCATGTTCAATATATCCCATATGCATGGGGGTATTGAGATAATGATACGAAAGGTTTGCTAGGGTAGATTCTCATCCCCCCCACACCACCCCGAATCAAAATCCTGGCTACGGGCCTGCAGCGAGCGTTTGCTTTTCAGATCGTACTTCCTACTACTCTATCAAAGAATGTAGGCCCCCACCATCACAGGAAACAGACCAGTGTTCAATACCGCAAAAGGTTATCACCAGATGAAACATTAACAAGAACCAAATCGCAATATCTCAAAGGATGAAATAAAAAGACATATTAATAAAAGTCAAAGGATCCCTTAGATTATAAACAAGAGTTGAATTAGAAAAAGAAGGGTTCAAAGTACAGTAGTTTTTATACATGAGGCTAACAGAACATTCCAGAATGGACAGTAAATAAGAAGGAATCCAGTTGGTAGAAATGGATTGGGATAAATTGGAAGGTGATAAGGGACAAGTCTTATTTCCAAAATATATAAAATTTTAATATAGAAAGAACAAAATGAACCAATAAAATAATATATGGTGACCTTGGCAAAAAAAAATGTTGGAAGGATATTTGACATTGACCAACGGGAATGAGCTTGGAAAGACATGGCAAGCTTTATGTGTTCTAGCAATCTTAAAAAAAGTTTTTTTAAAGTCTACGGTCAAGGGCATTTTTAAGATCAATTCAGAGTGAGCTGTGGTTTTTAACTTTGGATATGTTTTATTGATTTTTAATGGGGAATTTTTAAATACTGTTTATATTTAATCCTGTTTTAATATTGGCACATTTGTATATTTTAAATTGTATGCTAATGCTTTTGTGTTAAGCCACTTTGGGCCTCCTTCAGAAGAGAGAAAGTGGAGTATAAATAATAATAATAATCCCCAAATATACTAGCTAAAATATATAAAACCAAGAAAGACTTATGCTGGAAATGTGAGAAATATGTTATGGGACTGTAAAAGCATTAAGAATTATTGGAAGACACAATTAATAGTATTATTGAATTAGAATTTACGTCACAGCTGCATCTTTTCAACATGATAGATGTGCAAATCAATAAATCTACAAGGAGAATAATTATGTATATAATTACAACAGCAAGGACAGTATTGGCAAAAAAGTGGAAAATATCTGAAGTACCTTCCATCTATTGAAATTTAGAGAAGCAATGGAAATGGAGGGAAACAGAATAATGAAGGGGAGCTCTCTAAGCAAGGTGCAGAAAGAGAAAGTAGAGAAATATTTCAAGGAATCTGTAGTCTCTATAAAAAATATAAATGTTGGGTATTTAAGTTTCTCTTTTTATCAAATGGAATCCAAGAAGACTTTGGAAGAACCTCTACCAAAAAGGTAGTGTCTTTGTATTCACAGTTTAATTGGATTATGTTATGTTTGCTTGGTTTGTGTCTTTTTTTCTCTGTATCTTATGGAGTTTCTTCTTCTTCTATGCTTTCTTTCTGAAAATCAGTAAAAATATTACAAAAACCAAACCAACCAACCACTATAACACACTGGCTCTTCATGTATATAATTTAGACTCTGGTTGGCTGCTACAAGAAATAGATCTCAGGCTCTCAACCAGCAAACAATGCATAACTAATAATTTCATAATCTGTAAAAGGGGGAAATTCACCTTTTACCCAAAAGAAAATGTATGTACAGTATGACCCTTGTACCCATAGGGAATATGTTCCAAGACTCTTGGTGGATACCCCAAATTATGATAACAGCAAGCCCTCTATTTTGAATATACTTTGCCACAGAATTACACTACAGGACCTAAAAAGAAAAATAAACAATTAGATTGTGGGTAAGTGAAATTGCAGATATCATATCCTTAGATAAGGGGGCAATACTGATACTACCTTTAGTAGGTTCTGAAGATGGAAAAAATAGCAGTAGCATTGCTAGCAGCAGCCATGAGCAAACAAATAAGAAACTGGGTTGTTGTAGATTTTTCGGGCTATATGGCCATGTTCTAGAAGCATTCTCTCCTCACGTTTCGCCTGCATCTATGGCAAGCATCCTCAGAGGTTGTAAAAAACTCACAAGAAATTCTAATTAAATGTTAAAAATGTATATTTTCTTTACTGTTATAACTGTAAAATGCAAATTATTTGGCCATTAGTAAAGATCAGGTATTAGTGAAAGGTCTATGGATGGATTTCACCAAGTAGCACCTTGAGATAGTTTTAAACTGACTTCATTGTACCTAGACGATTGTGTCCCACCATAGCACGGCTTGGGATACAGTAATCCTGTGGGTTTGCCAACTGTTTCATACTCTTTTCTCAAAATCAAGATGCTAGTTAATGAAATCTAACTATAAGCTTTTTCGTAACACAATTATATCCCCCTTTAAAGAAATATCCCCCTTTTGCAGATTATAAAAATATTGCTTACACTTTTGTTACTGATCTAGATGATTATCCTATTTCTCTTAGCAGCCAACTAGCATTCAAATTACATATTTGTAAAGACTATGAAGAGCCAGTGCGTTATAGAGGACTATGGTCCTGGACACCAGAGTTGAAACCCCACTTGGCCCTGAAACCCGCTGCATGACCTTGGGCAAATCAGACTTAGGCTCAAAGGAAAGCAAAGACAAACCTCTTCTGAATCAACCTTACCTCAGGAAGACTTATTTCTAAACAGATAAGGTAAAGGTAAAGATTTCTCCTGACATTTAGTCCAGTCGTGTCCGAATCTGGGTGGTGGTGCTCATCTCCATTTCTAAGCCAAAGAACCAGCATTGTCCGTAGACACCTCCAAGATCATGTGGCCAGCATGACTGCAATGGAGTGCCATTACCTTCCTGCCGGAGTGGTACCTATTGATCTACTCAAAGTTGCATGTTTTCAACTTTGGTTGAAGCTGAGGCTAACAGTGGGAGCTCACCCCGCTCCCCAGATTCAGACCTGCAACCTTTCAATCAGCAAGCTCAGCAGTTCAGTGGCGTAACCCACTGTGTCACCAGGGGGGGGGGGGGGGGGGGGAGTCACCTTAGAGGTGCCATAAGTCTAAAACAACTTGAAAGCACAGAACAACAAACAATAAGAACATTCACAGCAAGAAAGGTTATGCTTGCGCCATTGATGTATTTATGGGAGCAAATATCAGTTCCTCTGCTTGCTTTAACTGGAATGCTCTGGCTTTCTATTATTTTGTCCCAACAAACCCAATTCAGAAAACACACCCGTTCCTTGCATGCTGCTTTTCAGTTTGCTAAGAAGTTCTCCAAACAGCTCTTGTTCTGAGCCTTTTTATCTGTCTGTTGATGACTGTAATGAAACTCTGCCCCCAGGAGTCTTCAAGAGAGAAAAAAACCCTCTACTAACCAAAACACCTGGACTTGCTATCAATTTTGTTTTTCTGTCTTTTGCTGCCAGCTCTTTTCTCCGCCAAGGTTGGGAGCTTGAACATTTGAGTGTCTAAGTTCTAACATAGAACGGTTCACAGTTTAACAAGTTCTTGCAAATTCAACTTCTGTTTCCTTTTACATAATAAAAAAGAAGATCAGTATTACTCACCCACAGACATAAAAATACCCCTTGTCCTGCAGGAGGATTCTGCTGATCTCACCAGAAAATAGCCGAAGGTTATCTTGAACATATTTAGGAGTGGCAGTTTGTACCATAGCTGGGGTGTCTCTTGAAAAACACACGTTCAGGTGAGTTAACGTGCCATCCTCAACAAAGAGCTTGAGCTCATCTCTGAAAAATAAGGTGAAAGATCACTGCAACCATGAAGATGTTCATCCCCATGTCCAATTGCTGAAGGATAAAGTACTAAAAGGGAGTAAAGGGCACTAAAAACTTACTCAAACAAGTAATCTCTGGCTTTGTGGCGACAGCCAAAAAATAACCACGTCTCTCCAAAAATCCAATCTTTGTGATTTTCTCTGAGCATTCGTCTAAATATAAAAGTTTAAGTATTAATTATTATACCATTTATATTCTGCATGACAACCAAACACACACAAGTTTCACTTTTTGACCAGTTATCCTAATTAGGGTTTACTAATCACGGTTTTTCAAAGTGTAGTTCTGTTAGATCTGAGACAGGCAAAGAAAATCTTACACTTCTAGCCTACCCATCTTGTGATATGTAGCCCTTTAAAACCACTGATTTGGTTTTAAATGTTATAAGCAACTAACCAAAAGTTCACTTATTCTGATGACTTAGTTCTATGCCAAAACAACATACACTGAAGGAGCAGATTTGATATACTAATTTTGCATGTTGGACAAGACCCTTAAAGTGGGTTGAATATTCAAGCCAAAAAAACTCACACTGTAAAGATGATGAGAGATTAGCAATCCAAAATGTTTACAACTATTCACGTGACATGTAATAGGCTGCACCTCCATTAGAATTGATGGGAAAGTCAAATGTACAGAAAACATACATATTTATTATTATTTATTTACTGTATTTACACCCTGACCTTCTCACCCCCAAGGGGACTCAAAGCGGCCTTACAATAGTCGACTATTTGATGGCACATAAAACAAACATATAATAAAATAAACATATACATTCAAACATAAAATTAAAGCACATATAAACGTTAAAACAAATTATTAAAAGTCACATAATCCGAAATCATAGTCAAGGAGCCATTCCAATCGCGACTGCACATATTCCATTTTCATTTACTGCACTGCATTACTGTCCAAAGGCTAGATCCCACAGCCATGTTTTTAATTTCTGAAGGCCAGGGGGGAAGGAGTTGATCTGATTTCGCTGGGGAGGGAGTGCCATAGCCGAGGGGCCACCACTGAGAAGGCCATCTCTCGTTCATACCAACCACACCTGCAAAGATGGGACTGGGAGTTAAGATCCCCAGAAGATCTTAACTCCCGAGATGGTTCATAGAGGGAGATACGTTGGGACAGATAAGCTGGGCCAGAACCATTTAGGGTTTTGTAGGCTAAAGCCAGCACCTACATACATACAGATGGTAGTGCAAAGGTTTTTGGCTCGGAGGGATCCCACTGTCAAAGAATGGTCTCCATGGCATCTTCTATAGAAATTATAAAGCCCTCATATACTATGCTATGAAGCAGAAGAATTGGATCAGTTTTGCTGTTGGTGGGTTCAGATGAAAATGGCACACTCATATCATGTGGCAGTTCACTACAATACTTCAACATAAATTACTGATGTCCATGTTTCAGTATCTTGAGGAACTTTAAAAACTCAGCCCATCTCTATATCAAGCTGGAACCTGAGTTCTCCTCATTCTTATCAGTTATACCTCATGGATCAAACCAAAAAAATACAAATGTTGAAGGGTTTTAACTGACAAAAGGAGTGAAATCCTTCTTGTCTGCCTTTTCGTTACAGCCAAGTAAAAAACCTGGTTCGTGCATACAGTGTTTCTTTATATTAACACATCTCCTACTTCTACTGCTTGATATTCATTCAGCACCAACTCTGGTTTCACCATGGCATTAATAACTCTCCACTGTTCCCTGTTTTAACTACATCAAAGTTTTAGTCAATTTCAATTTATGACTGCTACAAACTGTTTTTCACGAAAATGCATAAGGCACTGCAATAATATGGAATAAATTAGTCACAGCAGCTTGTTAAACATTACAAGTTCCCATTATTAGCGGTAATGATAGCAAATCTGTTTCCCTTCCATTTTCAAAAGCTGCAACTGGCTGTCCCAATTAATGCTTTCCCAAGAATTTATTATCCTGTTTAAAAAAGAAATCATTTGGCATTGCAACAATTCAATTTCATGCTCCACATACAGATACTTCTCTAGATTCTTCCCCTTATTACTCTTCTCTAAATTACAAACCAAGGCGCCAGGCCGATCCTTTAAACTCATGCTACGTCAAGTATGAGCTGGGAACATCAAACTGCAAGGAGACAAAGAGCCAAACTTAAGAGTGCTTTGGGCATACATAGATCAACTCTGAAAGCAATGATCTTCAGGCATGTTTAAGAGGGTCTTTAAAAAATCCCACAATCTACCTAAATCTACAGGAAAAGTGTATGGCATATGGACAAATCTTCATCACCATCATCTTTCAATTCATTTCCAGACCAAACTTTTGGTACCTATAATGGTTCTTCAGACCTCAGGACCACAATATCGAAAGGAATACTGTTTTCAATACATTCATACCCAAGTCCAGAAAAAATGATCAAAGTGAGAGCCGTTCAGCAGTGGTGTGTGGTGGAGGCTCCTTCTTTGGAAACTTTTAAACAGAGGCTGGATGGCCATCTGTCAGGGGTGATTGGAATGCAATATTCCTGCTTCTTGGCAGGGGGTTGGACTGGATGGCCCATGAGGTCTCTTCCAACTCTTTGATTCTATGATTCTATTAAAGTCCTACTCCAAGGGCCTTCAAGGAACTGTGGCCCCTGTAGTAATTGATTACCCTACCCAGAAAGGTCTGGCACATACTGTATATACAGTACTTGAAGATAAGTTGTTTTTCAGCCCTTTTTGGGGACTGAAAAAGCCTACCTAAGCTTATGATGGGGTCAAGCCAGGTAGCGGAGCCTGGAGGCCATTGCTTGCAATATATGATAGGTTTCTCTTCCTCCCTTAACAGTGTGTTTTCTTTTTCAAATCCTCCCTCGCTTGCTCAAGAGAGAGAGAAGCCCTTGAAAGTCAGGAATATCCATTAATCTTATAAAAGCATTTCCCCCTGAAATATTTGTTAATCTCTCCTACAGATATATAGGACTTTCAGCGAGTCCTATACAATAAAACCTTTTAATTTGAAGCCATCACAGCTATTCTATGTTGATGTAGCAAATGGCAAGGAATGGATGACATTCTATCAAAAATAATAGAAATGGGTAGGGGAGGGGGGAAAGGAAGAAAACAATGATAACCAAAAGGGAGCTGCAAGTCCACATAGTGTACAAAGTCTCATGTTCTAATGGCTGCACACATGCACGCACACGGACACATAACTGGTGCGAAGTATTTTTCCAACCATTTATAGATTCACATAAATCTATATAAATAAAAATGTAATGTTCGTTTGTGGGATTAACGTAACTCAAAAACCACGGGACGAATTGATACAAAATTTGGCCAATGACTTGCCTATGTTGCAGAAAGCCAATAAACGGTGCAATTCCCGTTCCTGGGCCAACCATGATAAAAGGAATTGATGGATTGTCTGGTAAGTGAAAACTGTTGGTTGGGCGAGACGATATGGAGATCTAAAATGCAATTAGAAATCATGAATGTACTTCAGGAAAACAGAAGGTCATCTACAAGCGACACCCTCCACCCCAAAATTCTATGCAGCTGCTAAATTAGTCGACTTTAAAAAAAATCCAGAAGAGTAACAAGAGCTGGACAAAATAGGAAAATTTTGTCTGAAGAAAAGAGGAAATGGAAGCAGCAGGACACTAAATTAGTACAAACCAGATTTCAGACCACCCCCTTCTTCAATGAATGAACACAGGTCTTTCAAACTCACTGCTACTGCATGCTGTGATAATCATCAGAATAAATGGTTTATTATTTTTGAAAAGGAACCTATGTTTCAGCTTATCATGAAGGTTATGAAGGCTGCATTAACATAGATGGTTTACATTTTGATTTCAATATAAACATAGTTCAAATTGATTAAATTTAATATTGTGTCATCAAGTGTATCTTTCACTTAGATGAGAACAGTCTTCCTCTTGCTGGCAACATAGGATTGATGACATGATAGAATCGCTCCTATATGGATATGTTTCTGTTCGTTTAGACATATTGATCACAAATTATAGCTCATAACTAGGAAAGGTTTGTAATGCCGGATGCTGAAAAGTTTATGCACTAGACTAGGTGTTACAGACCATAAGCAAACAAAATGTATATAGTTCTGGCTAGACATCCGTACAAGTAACCAAAATGCAAGAGAGTGAGTCTCCCCAACTTGAATGACTTAGCAGCATGTATCACACCATCAAGTCCTAAGGGAATTTTGATCACAGCTAAGAAAATTTACTTTTTGGATTACAACTCCCAGGACCTCCCAGAATTATTCCAAAAATAACTTTCTGAAGCACTGAAATTTTGACCATGCATGTATATCCAACTTGAGTAACTCAAATCCATCTCAGTAAGAAGAAAGGCCTAATGATCCTTGTCTGAATCACTTAGTATAGCACATGCATTAAGTTAACGGCACTCTTCAGATCCCCACTGAACACCAACTTTCAAAATGGGACATTATTTCAATTCTTTGTTCAGTCATCCTTCCTCTTTCCTTCTTTTCTCCATTTAATAAAAACTCCTCAACTATCAACAGATAATTTAAAAATGAAGTGGCTGTGATCCTATTGCAACCCATCTTTGGTAACTGTGATTCTTATGCAACTGCAAGTGGAATCATAGAATCTTAGAGCTGGAAGAGACCTCGTGGGCCATCCAGTCCAACCCCCCGCCAAGAAGCAGGAAAATCACATTCAAAGCACCTCTACAGATGGCCACCCAGCCTCTGCTTAAAAGCCTCCAAAGGAGGAGCCGCCACGACACTCTGGGGCAGAGAGTTCCACTGCTGAAGAGCTCTCCCAGTCAGAAAGTTCTTCCCAATGTTCAAGTGGAATCTCCTTTCCTGTAGTTTGAAGCCATTGTTCCYCYTCTTAAGTCTCCAAGGCAGCAGAAAACAAGCCTGCTCCCTCCTCCCTATGACTTCCCCTCACATGTTTATACATGACCCTCATCATGTCTCCACTCAACCTTCTCTTCTACAGGCTAAACATGCCCAGATCTTTAAGCTGCTCCTCATAGAGCTTGTTCTCCAGACCCTTGATCATTTTAGTCWCCCTCCTCAGGACACATTCCAGCTTGTCAACATCTCCCTTCAATTGTGGTGCCCAGAACTGGACACAGTATTCCAGGTGTGGTCTGACCAAAGCAGAATAGAGAGARAGCARGYCTTCCTTGGATCTAAGCACTATACTCCTATTTATGCAGGCTGAATCCCATTGGCTTTTTAAGCTGTCGCATCACATGTTTAACTTCTCAGTAAGAGACCATGGTGCTGGATAAACCTATCACCTGGGTTAATCTGGACAAAAAAAATCACCTTGTTTACTAAACCAGATCTCTTTGACCGATGTTACAACGGAAAATAAATGTCACTATCAAATATCTAATTTTTGGTAGAAAAAAAGGCATCAACACTTGTGCAAAACGAATTGTGAGAGCCTGAGGGAACTCTAGATAGCATACCTGCCTTTTGTTTCACCTCTCTGTTTCTTTTACTTATGTACTCAAATCTTTTTTGCTTTCTTCCTTCTTCCAAAAGTTTGGGAAGAGGCTGTTCATGAAACCCACACTTTCAGGATGGAAACTAGCCAAACACCGGAGCCAGCCTTAAGAACTTTTCTTCTGAAATTTAGGCAATCTTATTTGTCTGTCTCTTTTCCTATCCCAAGATGAATTTCCTGAAATAACGTTGTCCAACCCACATTTTGGGACCTCAAATGTTATCCCTGTTTCTGGGTATATTTGACCTGCTGATTCCAAAAATGGCACCGACTTCCCTCCCTCAGCTCTAGTTTTTGTGCCATCTACCAGCTGCCGTTTGCTCACTCATAAAAAACCATGGTAACCATATCTAAAAAAACTAGTTGATGTGGTCAATCCAATGCAATTTTCTGAACCAGTACCCCAAATAACCCCAGTAACAAGTCTACAAACCAAGACTTTTTTTGGTTTGGCTGGGTAATAAATATCAGTTTTCTTGTTTTATTTTACAAGAGCACCCTGAGTATTTTCTTCTGTTTTCCGCCACAGTCTCACATTGCTTTAACTATGCTGCACTCTGCTTCATAGCGATACCAAATATTCCTACACTAGCAACAACAGAAGAAGAAATCCAAACCAAAAAAGCAAAAGGGATATCTGGCATAAGAAATATGGTTTATACCTCTGGAATGAAGGATCCATCATACTTCGTACTTGATTGAAGGATTGGGGCAACCAAATCAGCCAACCAGCCAGTACAAATTCCTCTTCGCAGTTGACCTACATGGGATGCGAACTCCACAATATTAAAGAGGAAAGTAATCTTTCCAGGCTGGAATAAATTTGAGCTGCAATGAAAGAGTTGAGAATTAAAGTTAACAAAAGAATTAAGGCTAAAGACCTTAGAAAACTACAGCTGCCAGGATTTCATTGAATTGAGCCATAGCAGTTAATGTGCTGTCAGACTGCATCAATTGTACAATGTAGATGCTCCCCTGGTTGCCACATCTAATAGTGACTTGCATACAGTGTGCAAATGGGGTTTAGTTCTAGAACTTCCCCCACAAAATCCTTAGTGCTCAAGTTTCATTAAGTGCAATGGCACAGCAAAATTGTGCCCCTTATCAAGGTTTGCTTTGGGGATTGTCTGGAAAATATTTCGTTAAATTGTGTCTGGTTGAATCTCTTGCATAGATATGGAAGGGAGACTATATACAAATATGTATCATAGACAACACCATGCACAGAACATATCCACCAGACAATATACTTTGAAAAGGTATTTATCTACACATTTTGCTGTGAGTCATTACCTCCTGACCAATAATGCCATGAGAAATGAAGCAAATAGAAATATAAACTTTATTTCAGTCTCCAAATGCCAAGGCTACAGCACACTTCAAAGCCTTCACTGCCCATATGATGAGATGCAATGTTTAAAAATAACAAATGCCACACACTGTTAACGTTTTTCCTTTTTTCAAACAATAGATATTACATTACCTTGCTACTGAGTAGGGTCTGGCTTGTAATTTTGGAAGATGCTCTGTGAAAACCAAGAAGTAAGAAAGTATAAGATTCCACTTGCTTACAGTATCTTTGGTGCCTTCCAATAATAAATAACAGGCAGTTGCTTAATATCTTAAAGCGGATTTCCAAAACCCAGTCCTTTTATCTCTATGTTAATTGTGGAAACTAAGAGATTGTGGTCTGCCTAAGGCAAATTTAAGAGGGACCACATTGTACCCTGAAACCCTCCACTGCTGCCAGATTTCCTGCTTGGTCTGGTGAATGTAGGCTTGATGGCCATCTGTTGGGGATGCTTTGATTGTATGCTCCTGAAAGGCAGAAGGTTGGGCTGGATGCCCCTTGTGGTCTCTTCCAATTCTATGATTTTATGTGCCCCTAAAAGCAGAATGACACTTTTGGGAGACTTTAGGAACACACTATTCTGCTTTATTCTTAAAAGACCCCCCACTTCTGCCTCCTTGGCAAGTTCAGAAGAGGGTGACAGAACTGGATGGAGGTTTGTGGTCTCCATCCTGCCCACTGTTGGCTTAAAGTCTTCTGCTTCATTTAGGAAAGAGCAAGACCTGAACTTCAGCTGTCTTTTCTGAAATGCCACAATGATTCACTGCACTTGATATGTAACACTTTCACATAAAACGAGTAAAGCAGGTGAGTTCCTTGGATGGATTTGGGAGAAAAAAATCATCACCATTACAAATTGGACATCTGCTATTCTTAAAAATAACTTTAACAATGCTTTTCTTCTGTTGACAGAGAGAAGTATAAAAATATTATTATTATTATTATTATTATCATCATCATTATTAGATACACAACAAGATTGGTACACAGCAAACAAGATCACTATGCTGGCTTTTGTATTTGATCACATTAGACACTTCCCAAGTATCTAGGACTGTGTGATGTATTGGCGAATAATGTGTGCAGATCCAAGCAGGGTGGTCTTTTGCAGCTGACAGATGGTAATTTTGACAGCACCAATTGTTTTTAAGTGCAGGCCAAGGTCTTTAGGCACTGCACCCAGTGTGCCAATCACCACTGGGACCACCTTTAATGACTTGTACCAGTATTATCATTATTGGTATTATTATGTTCATTTATATCTGGCTTTTTCTCTCCACAAAGGAGGCTCAAAACAGCTTACATTAAAAGTACTTCATTACAATTTTACAATATACAAATATTAAAATAGAATTAAATATCATTAGTATTTTAAAAATTCATTTAAAGAGAGAAGACACAATATAAGGCAAAATGAACTCACTCGCCTTGTACTTATATTAAGAAATAAATACTTAATGTATCAGGTTTAGTTGGTTTTGGTTTACAATAAACACAAGGCTATGCTAAGCTATGGCATTTTGAGGTAGACACACCGAGGTAAATGGTTCAGGGAAAAACTCCTCTAAAATGTTGCACTGCGTGTTTACTTATGAGTAAGCACATCATAAAGCAACTTTTCAGTTTAAACAGTTAACTAATAGATGGGCATGAGACACACAGAGAGAATCGGTGAGTTGCATTCAGTGTTAGTGTAGCAGAAAAAGTATAGCTGTAATCACATCTCACAATGGTAAGCATTAATAAAACACTAGCTCAGTTAGTGTAAGCACCAAAAGCTGGATGAAATCCTCACGGTGTCAACATATTGAGCAATGAGAGAGCCTAAGAATCACAATAATATATTTCATCCTTGTTGGAAAGAGGCAAACACTTTTCCTTAGTAGCAATGGTTGAGAAAAGGATTTATTCTTCCTTTTCAGAATCTATCTTTTATTACTAGAATTTTAGTGTTAGTCAATGGAATTGAACAGTAATAAGTAAAGCACTGCCAGGTGTGTGCTCAGCATATGGATTTTGTTGCAAAAAGGTGGTTATGGTCAGTAGCTCAGATAGTATTAAAAACAATATAATAAATTCACGGTGGATAGTTTCTTATATGGCTATAAACCACAGTAAAAACTGAATCTGAGAGGCAGCACACCACGTTACCAGATGTCTGAGGGAAGCCCAGAGAAGACAGTTTACTCCTGTGAAAAACTGGCTGGACGTTGCTCAAAGAATTGAGTGCTAGGAGAATATTTGGTCTGATCAACATGACTTCTAATTATTTGAGAACATGCCAAGTATACGTGTAGGCTTATATGTAAGTTTCTATAGCATTATGAGGTGTCTTTTTTTTTGGCCTCTATTAATTGATCTTATGTTTAGTGCATTGATGGGCTTCTACAATCTCAGCATACTCATTTTGTAGCAGTAAATAATAATAATAATAATCATCATCATCATCATCGTCATCATCATCATCATCATCATCACCACCACCACCACCACCACCATCTTTATTTATACCCCGCCGCCATATTCCCAAAGGGGACTCGGGGCAGCTAACATGAGGCCAAGCCCAAAAATAATATAGCAAAGTTAGACACAAAACAACAGAAAAATTACATTACAACAAAATACATAAAGTAACAAAATAAAATAAAATAAACAGTGCAAAATAACATAATAAAAATCAAACACAACAGTATACTCACCAATCAGAAGACTAAGTGGAGGCTGGCAAGATGGGAACGCATGCAGTAAATCCAACAAGCAGACACCAGCATCCCTTATGAAACTATTATAATCAGAGGATCCTTGCTTACTACACAGCTCTTGAAGTCTTCTTTTTTCTCCAACATCAATAGTATATTCTACCAGAGATCGCAAAAATGCCTAGCAGAAGAGAAGAGGTTGCATTTAATTCAGGTTGAGTCATAGTATGAGCCCAGTAGCATAAATACAACTCTCTTCAATATATTTTTCAGAATGCCTTTAATCCAAGGAAGTCGGGGCTGCCGAGATGGAATTATTCCATTTCACCCTTGCAACAAACATATTAAAGGCTCTTTCCTTGTTGTTTTTGTTACTACACTTGTTGCAGAGTCAGGAGTGCGAGCAGGAAAAAACTATTTTGTAAAGCTTGTGTTACTGGTCACATTGACTACAACCAACCAGATGAGCAACTATTTACATACCCATTTAGGCACGCAAATATTTCTTGTCCTAGCATTTGCACACTGAACTATTAGTAAATTACTTGACAGATAAAGTTACAATAAATAGCCAGGACATCAAATAAATACTGCAACTGCTTTGAGTTAGTCCTTTTGCCAATATTCTTTTTAAAAGGATATCAAATATAAATTTAGAGGGATATAAAATATAATATTACTTGATACTTTCACAGGGCTGTTTACTGCTGCCATCTAGAGGTCTATATTGAAAAGAACACTCAATAACCGTGATCACATCTAATTAAACACTGTGTCCCAATAGTTAGCTAAAGGTGGTAAGAATTCTATGAATCTTAGAAAAAAGGCATGTAAAGGGTCAGGCCCATAGCCAGGATTTTGATTCGGGAGGGGCGGCTGAGTCTGAATAAGAGAGGATCTACCCTAGCAAACCTTTTGTATTGTTTTCCCAATACCCCCATACATATGGAATATATTGAGCATGGTGATCAGATCATAATATGAATAAACATAACAGTTTAAATAATATACTAGTAAGGTCTTCTCGTGGACCATCCTGAGAATTGGGGGGGGGGCTGAAGCCCCTCAAGCCCCCCCCCCCCCCCCCCCCCCGGCTACATGCCTGGAAAGGGTATATGAAAGGTTGTCCTTTTTAAAGTACCTGGTTCTTCACAGCAAGAAGCCTGTAGTTTGAAATAAATAATAGCTTCAATGGCTGCTACAGTCGCCTGCAGAACATCTCCTTCTAGGCCCCTCTGAGGGCCCTTCCACACAGCCATATAACCCAGAATATCAAGGCAGAAAATCCCACAATATCTGCTTTGAACTGGGTTATCTGAGTCCACACTGCCATATATTTCAGTTCAAAGCAGATAATGTGGGATTTTATTCAGCTGTGTGGAATTGTCCCATGTTTAAAAACATTGTATGATATATTTTCCAATATAGTACAAAAAAAGAGGAAAAAGTAAGACAGCGCAAACAGCAAGGAAACAACAAAAAAGGAATTTACATTTGACATCCAACTTTCCTAAAAATGGTTTTAGTCTCAAGATATACAACATCTTCTCCAACATTACTACAACTCATGAACTTCTTCAGCTCAAGCAAACCTATGAATGATCAAAACATATGCTACTATTCTCTTTTTACAAAAAAGACAACCAAGGCTGAGAGGAGATATGATAGCCATGTATAAATATGTGAGAGGAAGCCACAGGGAGGAGGGAGCAAGCTTGTTTTCTGCTTCCCTGGAGACTAGGATGCGGAACAATGGCTTCAAACTACAAGAGAGGAGATTCCATCTGAACATGAGGAAGAACTTCCTGACTGTGAGAGCTGTTCAGCAGTGGAACTCTCTGCCCCGGAGTGTGGTGGAGGCTCCTTCTTTGGAAGCTTTTAAACAGAGGCTGGATGGCCATCTGTCAGGGGTGATTTGAATGCAATATTCCTGCTTCTTGGCAGGGGGGTTGGACTGGATGGCCCATGAGGTCTCTTCCAACTCTTTGATTCTATGATTCTATGATTCTAAGAGTTCCTTATCTAACAAAAAAGACAAAAGAAAACGTCAGGAGAAATGCCTCTAGAACATGGCCATATAGCCCGAAAAAGCCCACAAGAACTGAGTGATTCCAGCCATGAAAGCCTTCGACAATACATTAATACATTTTTATTTTTTATGACAAACTCAATACCTTTTCACCAATGTATCATTTTACCATCTGTTGTGTACATATTGCTTCTCTAACCAAAATAATAATTAAACGCTAAGAAACTTGAGATTTTTTGCAGTTCACCTTGGTTAAGTGGCTTGCAGTAAGACAACAGCTTCCTTTTAAAAGTTTTTTTGTCTTATTCTGCTCTGTTCAGTGCAAATAAGACGGCAAATATTGATGAGAATGTACCCCTCTCAACAACAGTAAAAAATATATGCGGACAGAAAGTACCGGCAACATTGGGACCAGCAAGGTGTTGGTAAACATACTGTCAACACATAGTTACTGGTTCCAGCCCTTACTACCATAAAGCTAGACTTGAACCACACAAAGGCAGCTACTATGCTGCAGAGCTGTACAGAAATAAGCTCTCACAATCTACCAAAAATGGTAACTAGTCAATGTTACATGAAAAATGTCATTATTTGAAAAGAGAAAAGAAACCTTTTTGACAACTGCTCTTATTTCTAGACACCACGTCAGGATGAATTTCACAGTGCTCTTTTCAGGTACATGCTGTGGCAAAGCTGCTCCTGTTTAAAAGAAAAAGAAATGCATTAGAAGTGAGAACAGAAGGAGAAATAAATCTGCTCCTCTATATAATTACTCAGGGTTTAATTGTAATGCTAGATCCTAGAAGACTCAAACATGTAGAGCTGGAGATTTCAATCTGGAGAAACACAGGATTCCTCATTATAAAATCCATTATTCAAAGCAACTATAAGCAAGCTCTCTTGAAAGGCAGCTTTCTCACTACAACCCAAGAACTGAGTGTCTTTTAAAGCAGGTTACTCAAAATGGTGCTCATGAATTGGTGCTAGTCCCCAACCCACCAACTGGTGATTACTGGTGAGTTTCCAGGAACAATACAGAGGAAGCTAATGTGCACCATTAAAGACTGAGTTGACCAGCTCCTGGGGTGATGGCCAGCTTTCTCTCATCGAATTTGCATCTTACGACCTTGTCACATGGCCACCGGAGGTGCTCTGCTTTGAGGGGCTGGGGCCGGATAACCTGGTGGCCCACACTCCAGTTGAGGGTGATAAGATGGGGGAAGCATGGAGCACATGTGGAGTGTGCGGCTTTCCCTCATGGATTCCAATAGCAACATGGGAACTCCACCCTCCTTCACGCACAGAGTCGCCCTAGCATTGTCTGATGGGAGCTGGCGGGCTCAGTGGGTGACCTGAGCTGGATGTTTTAACTAGGAGACACAAATGATTTATGCTTTATTGATCTTGTTATGGTTTTATATTATATGTTAATGTTTTTAAATGTTTAAAATGTTTTAATAGTGTTGTTGGGCATTGAATTGTTACCTCTGTAAACTGTCTTGAGTTGCCTAAGGGCTGAGAAGGGTGGTATACAAATATACAGAGATTCTTACAGGAACACCTCAGCCAGTGAGAGTCCAAAAGTGGGAGGCTAAAACCTGGAACCTCAATCAGTGGCTGATACCAGATGAGAACTAATCTTAAGAAATGGGGCTACAAAATGGAGTCTATGACATGTGAGTGCAGAGAAGAGCAAACCACAGATGATTTACTATAATGCAGTCTGAGCCCTGCTACATGCACAATGGAGGGACCTTCTTACAGAGACACCAGAAGCATTTGAAGTGGCCAGCTTCTGGTCAAAGGACATTTTGTATAATGCCAAGTTTGTTTGTGGTTTTTCTATACATTATAACTGTATTCCCAATTTGCTTCTGACATGATAAATAAATATCCAGACAGTATCTCAAGGAAGCAATTCTGCTTATAAAGACATTGCTTGATTTCTACCGTTAAAGCTACAGCTTTTATCTCCAGCTATAGTGATGACTGAGGGGCGGGGAGAGAGCAAAAATAGATGACGGCCACTAACGAAAATGCACCCTGAAATTCTTCCTTCAAATCATTTATATTAAATAAATCTTGTAGTTAGCACATTAATACCGATATAAAATATGATATTAAATCTATTTATAAAAATATACACTTTCTGATAAATTCTGACAACTTAAAAGGCTTAAAAAGAACGGATCGAGCACCCAGATGTCAGTTTCCTTGTTACTGAGAAATATGGCATACCAACATGTTTAGTGTTACAATTTACGATGAACTCCAGGAGAGACTTTATAATTAGGGAGAAAGCAGCTGTTCGTTAGTAATTATAGGGGAAAGGGGCAGGTGCCCTTACAAATTAGAAACTGGTTAAAAAAATAAAAGCAGAAGCAACCTATATGATGTTATAGGAGAGAAAAATAAACATTGACTCCTCTCACCAAAATTAGTACCAGATCAGAGCTACTTATATAAATTGGTCTGAATTCAGGGGTGGAGAGCTTTGTATCCAAAATCTGCAGACAAACTCCACATTATTGAAGACAGGAAAATTCCAATGAGACCAAGAAGGAATTGAAAAGAAATTCCTTTCAAGAAACTGAGCAATTAGGCAAATCCAAGCACATAAAAATAAGATTAAGAGCAATGTATTGTCGAAGGCTTTCATGGCCAGAATCACTGGGTTGTTGTAGGTTTTTTTGGGCTATATGCCCATGTTCTAGAGGCATTCTCTTCTTATGTTTCGCCTGCATCTACGGCAAGTATCCTCAGAGGCAAGCATCCTCACTACCTCTGAGGATGCTTGCCATAGATGCAGGCGAAACGTCAGGAGAGAATGCCTCTAGAACATGGCCATATAGCCCAAAAAAACCTACAACAACCCAAGCTTAAGGGCCCTTCCAGACAGGCCCTATATCCCATGATCTAATCCCAGGTTTTCTGTTTATCCCAGTTTATCTGGCAGTACGGACCCATATCTACCAGTTTAAATCAGAAAACCTGGAACCAGATCCTGAGATATAGGGTCTGTATGGAAGAGCCCTCATGCTACAATTATTAGCATTGTGCTCAACTTGCACAAACATAGTTTCTTTTTGAGTAAATATGTACAGTGCTGTAAATAAGGGCAATAATAAGATAAAATATTTACTTAAAACATCCCCAAACTTTGTACTCAAGGTGGCCATATCTGAACTATTCATATGCATTCGTTTTTAAATGAATAACCCCCATCCCCATGAAAACCAGTCACAGCAGTAACAAAACCAATGAGAATGGAAATGAATCAAAGTCCATTATTATTGTTGTTTTGCCTTTTTACTGACGAACAAAAGATCCATACAATCCCTGCTCGTAAATTTGAGATTTGCCTATCCTCAACAGGACTGCATTTATCAGGAATCCTATTGCTCTCAATGCATCAAATATCCCAAATTTTCTGAGTAATTTCTATTTATCAGCAATATTAAGCTATTGCCAACTTGTGAAGACCATGTTTACATTTGCGTCTGAGCACAGAAACACACCAGACTTTCTTGCAAATATCGAAGGAGCTAAAATATATGGCATTTGTACAGAACTCCTGAGTGTCTGTGAAGTGGCATCGGTGGCCTTAAAACAAAAGGCAAATACGGATTCTGAAAGGTCGGTTATCACCAGGCCCGTAGCCAGGATTTTGATTCAGTGGAGCTGAGTTTGATTCGGGGGGAGCTGAGTCTGAGTGAAAGAGGGTCTACCCTAGCAAACCTTTTGTATCGTTACCCCAATACCCCCATGCATATGGGATATATTGAGCATGGTGATCAGATCATGATATGAATAAACATAACAGTTTAAATAATGTACCAGTAAGGCCTTCTCGCGAACCACCATGAGAATTTGGGGGGGGGGGGCTGAAGCCCCTCAAGCGCCCCCCCCCCCCGCCCGCCCGGCTACATGCCTGGTTATCACATACAATCAAATCTTTGGTACATATACAAGACTTACCTCTCTTTTTGGTGCCTGCTTTAACCTTCAAGCACACAAAGAAATCTTTCTTCTCAAGGAGGCCCAAGATATTGAGGAGTTCATCAACCTCATTGGCATAGTTGGGGCAAATTACATTAAAGGCATCTCCAGGTTGATAGCTAAATGTTGTTTTCTATTTTAAAAACACAAATAAAGCAAAGAAATTTAAATAGTATTTCAAATTCATTTCAAATTCTCTCTCGTCTGCTCAAGCATAACTCTCACCTACCATAGTGATTAATATTAACCAAAGTGGCTACTTTACAGATCATATAGTTTCACAGCTTACTGGCAAAAACAAGCTTCAATGAATGACGTTCCAAATACAATAACTTGACCATCTACAACAGCATGTGGAATTGTTATTTTCAACCAACGTTTTACTTTTCAGATTCAAGATGAGCATGCTAATGCTTATGTGGCCAAAACAATATTGTCCATAGGGATTAATAGATGTGGTATGTCAAGGTTTACAGAAATAGATAACCCAGCTGTTACCAAAACAAACAAACAAGCAAACAAACCCTTCTGAGGATGGGACCAGTCCAATAAGGACTTGACATATTCACTGGGCACAGAATGCTGAGTCTTAAAAAGAAGAGCATTGAGTTAAAAACACTCATATCTGGAACACTGAACAAGAGCCCTCCATATTGCAAAACTTCAGTGTCTCCATCTGTTTCTGTAGAATTAGATTACCTTCGTAGTGCTTCATTCACTGAAGAGAATAGTTAGCAATAAGCTGCAAACCTATCTACAGACAACATGAAATACCTCTACATTGATTTGTAGCTGCTTTGAGCACTTTTTTCTAAAGAAAACACAGACACACAAACAGATGTCAGGACCTTCTGCCAGCAGGCGTTTGGGGAAAAATAAGACCCCTTCTATATTGCCATATAAAATCCAGATTATCTGTTTTGAACTGGATTATATGGCAGTGTAGACTCAGATGATCCAGTTCAAATCAGATAATGTGGATTACCTGCTTTGATAATGGGATTATATAGCAGTGTAGAAGGGGCCTACAGGGCATGCTGCTGGGGAAGTATGGTTAGTTTGGATTTAGGGGGAAGGGGATTGTGAGTGTTACAGGCTAATTTAAGTGTAAGGTAAAGATAAAGGTTTTCCCTTGACATTAAGTCCAGTCGTGTCCAACTCTGGGGGGTGGTACTCATCTCCATTTCCAAGCCGAATAGCCGGTATTGTCCATAGACACCTGCAAGGTCATGTGGCCAGCATGATTGCATGGAGCGCCGTTGCCTTACCTCAGAAGTGGTATCTATTGATCTACTGCATGTTTTCAAACTGCTAGGTTGGCAGAAGCTGGGGCTAACAACAGTAGCTCACCCCACTCCCCAGATTAAAACCACCAACCTTTCGATCAGCAAGTTCAGCAGTTTAACCCACTGTGCCACCAGAGGGCCCAATTTAAGTGTATTCATACTTTAATCTGTTTTTATTTTTTACCTTAAATCACATTGTATTCCAAACTATGACCAAATTTTTAACCACCATGAGTCCACAGGGCATAAATAAACTAAATAACAGTAACAATATGCATGTATCTATAAACACATACAGCTGGTCCCACTTGTAAAATATTATCCTTAAAGGTGGAAGCACACTTCTCAAAATATTTACTTTTACACTGCATTAATTATCAACATCCACTCCAAGAGGTCAGAAGTAAGGAAAACAATAAATCCAACTCACAGAAATATCAAGTTCTAGCAGCAAAGTCTTTTTTATTGCTTCATCTGTTGTAAGTTGAACAGCCTTGATGACAGGAACTTGGAAAACAGAGGTCTCCGAAACACAAGGAGGGCCAGAATCCTGAAAACAAGCTGGCACAAGTTTAGACTCAGGGAAGAAGTATGAAATTTGTACAACTATTATGTGCAACTGTTTCAATGTTCTTTGGTGATCCCACCAATGAAAGCTCTGGAGCCTCAGTGATATCAACAAAAGAGATTAGCAAATACTTGTCAATCCAACTTAAAAGAGACTTCACAGAGTTTTAATCTAATCGGATCATCTTTGCTTGATCTTCTTTGAAAATATTTAACTGCTATTCATAAAGAATCTTTCTAATGTTGCCAAGCACAAGGCTCAGAAAGCAAAAGCAAATACAAAAAGAATATTAAAATTATGTTTGTAAAACAATTAATAAATTGAAATAGTTAATAAATAATAAAATAATAATATTTTATTATTATTTTATTATTATTAAATAGCTCTTTTTAGATCACCAAGACTTTAACCCAGTGGTGCAATGGGTTAAACCCATTGTGCCAGCAGAACTGCTGACTGAAAGGTCAGCAGTTTGAATCCCGGGAGCATGGTGAGCTCCTGTCTGTCAGCTCCAGCTTTTCATGCAGGGACATGAGAGAAGCCTCCCACAGGATGGTTAAACTTCGGCTGTCCCTGGGCAACGTCCTTGCAGACGGCCAATTCTCTCACACTAGAAGAGACTAGTTTCTCAAGTTGCTCCTGACATGATTATTTTTTTAAAAAATTCTTCATGAGAGTGCTGGAGAGAAAACGTCAGAAATATTAGAAGAGGGGATGAATAGGAAAGCCTGACAGTTATTAAGAGTCTTACTAGCTGACAGTAGCTAGCAAAACAGGATATTTTAACCATGGAAGAGATTACCTGATCTGAGCTTTCTTGAAATATCAACTCTAGATATTCTGGCGGTAAAGCAGGAACATTAAGAGTGGATTGTGAAAGTGGAGGCACTGATTGAGAAAGAGAAGGCTGAGAGACTCGGGTGGAAAGTTCTGAGTAAGCATTTGATTTTGATAAAATATCAGTCGTCACTTCTGAATCTTCTATTTTCAAATGCTCTATTTTGGAAGCTATGCACAAGTTAGAAACTGTACTGGCACAAACAGATGCAGACTTCTCATTATGGTTTGTGTCTTCTTTTTTTGATGCAAATTCATGATCGAGAGCAACCCAAAGATTTGCAATCCATGGTTCAACCACCAATTCTAAACTGAAACAAAGAAAAAAAGGTTTGTTTTTTTTTTAAAAAAAAATGAAAGTACTGGCATAAATATCAGTGGTCTATTATTTATTTATTTAAGAATAAAAATGAAATTTAGTGAAGTCTGTTTTGAAAGCACATTCAAAAGAACAATCCAGAAATCTTCTCCATCGGAAGATACAATGAAATTTCACACATCAGAAGCCCTCTCTTTACCTATGACAGTGGTTCTCAACCTGTGGGTCCCCAAGTATTTTGGCCTACAACTCCCAGAAATCCCAGCCAGTTTACCAGCTGTTGGAATTTCTGGGAGTTGAAGGCTAAAACATCTGTTTCTGCCTTAAGCTTCCCTGGGAGCTTAAGATATTGGAGTTTATGGAGCATGAGAACAAAAAATAATAAATAAGGAATGCAGTTGCATTCAAGTGATTGAGATGCTGGGTTGCTGAGTTTTTTGGGCTGTATGGCCATATTCCAGAAGCATCCTCTCCTGACATTTTGCTCATATCTTTAGCAGGTATCCTCAGAGGTTATGAGGTCTCCTGGAAACTAAGCAAGTCAAGTTTATATATCTGTGGAATGTTCAGGGTGGGAGAAAGAATTCTTGTCTGACTGAGACAACTGTGAATGTTGCAATTGGACACCTTGTTTGCATTAAATAGCCTTGTGGTTTCAAAGCCTGGCTGCTTCCTGCCTGGGGGAATCCTTTGTTGGGAGGTGTTAACTGGCCAATTAACAATTTAACAGTTTCAAAGCATACAGGCTTAGAAACTGCAATGCTATTTAATGGTAATCAAGCTGGCCAATTGCAACATTCAATAGGCGAATGAATACAGTAGGAGTAAATAAAGCTGCATTTCCTTAATTAAAGCTATCCCAACTGCTTCCCAAATTTATTTATTTATTATTTATTTACTTCATTTCTATCCCGCTCTTCTCACCCCTCAGGGGACTCAGAGCGGCATACAACATACATCTAAGCAAAAATTCAATGCCTTATTATACAAATCATATAAAACATAACATAAAATCACTAGAAACAATAAGCCTATAAATAATAAAGGATCGTTCTAACTCCCTGTTTAACCATGTAAATAAAGGATCTCTGTGTCCTAACAGTAAACATGTTGCGTTACATCTGAATGGAATTATTAATCCAGAAAAACCACCAGAAGTAACCTTATCCCATAAATTCTGTCACACAGCTGAAATCTGAATCTAAATGTGTGGGAAGGGAGCTATCCCCAAGCATTTAGATTGGGGAATAATGTTCCCTTACCCTACAGCATCATCAGCTTGTCCCATCTCACAAAAACACTGTGCTCCAAGCTCTTGAAGTCGTCTGTCCACTATTTTTCCCCCATTGCAAAAGAAGGTGTATTCAGAGTCTCCTAAACCTAGGAATAGTAAGGCAAGGGAAAAGACAAAAAACACAGAAATAGAAATAAAATGAGTTTCAGACTATATTTATGTATAAGCTTTAACGCAAAAAGAAAAATTCCACACTCAATAAAATGTCTTAGAATTATTATCACACATCTGTTTCACATCCAAAGCCCAGCAACATCTACATGTGTTTTGTTCTCTGCTTAATAGAAAGGGTTCAGTAGTCAAGTGGCTTTTTACCGAAGCTTGCCACCCTCTTCACCCAACTTCTGAAATATTCGGATAATTAAGAGAAGAGAAAGGAAAACAAAAACTTTGCTTCTAAAATGGTCTCCCCAGGACAACCGCAATCCTCATGCTGGTTGCCTGGCCAGTTTCTGCTCATCCATAAAAACATCCCTTCCAGGTTCTTTTCAGCATTGCTTGAAATAGTTGGCTTGAGAGGTGAAATCAGCTGGGCCCACCCTATGCATACATATAGGAAAGGAATGAAGAAATTCCCTTCCCTGTCTTCCCTTCTCTTTTGTGTGGAAGCTTCCACACTTTTGCAAATGTTTTATTGAGTCAGGAACGACTTGAGAAATTGCATGTCGCAACTAGTGTGAGAGAATTGGCCATCTGCCCAGGGGACGCCCAGATGTTTTGCCATCCTGTGGGAAGCTTCTCTCATATCCCCTCATGGGAAGCTGGAACTGACAGATGGGAGCTTACCCCACTCCCAGTAAGTAGATGAAAAACTCAGAGACATAATTGCTTAGGCTTTTACCTGAACAAGCGAGGGCTAAAAGGGAGAATGGGGCACAGTGCCACACAGAGATACCTTTCCGAATGTCCCCATGTGAGAATCAGGGGTGAAATGGGCACAGATACTGAGATATAGGCTATTGTGTCCGCCATGCCTCATTTTTAAATTCAGAAAAACACAAAGAGGCTATTTTCAAGGCTATAAGCTCAATATCCAAATTAACACATGAAGATTCATCGCCAGCCAGGCCTGTAGCGGGGGGGGGGGGGGGGGGGGGGTTAGGTTCAAATTTTTCTGGTTAAAAAAAACCCTGGTTTACTCATGAATTTTAACTAGTTAACCAAATCCCCATGCTAAGTCTATGAGACACAAAAAATTAAGAGTCCCTCCAGAACTGCAAGCACTATCTCAAGCAAATATTGACAATTTATTCACACTGTCATTACTTGCAGCAATAGCCGATGTAGCGAAGCAACCAAGTTGGGGGGGGGGGGTGTTGAATGCTCTCATTAAGGAGGCCAGACTTGGTGGAGGTGGTTGACAGGGGCAGAGCTGCAAGCTATTGAAGGCTGCTCTGCCCCCTGCTGTGCTCTTTGCTTCAGCATGACCCTAACCCCCCCCCCCTAAAACCCCCCCTGAAATTTTCGACCCTCCCCGAAATTTTTTTCTGGCTACGACCCTGTCGCCAGCTGACTATCCAAGCCCAATAACACATTAGAAACAGAAAACAAGAGTATTCAAATGTAGTACACACTACAAATAAACCTTGTTATTTTGCTTACATGCTGTTTCAATGAACAAACAATGCTACTTCAATTGACTAATGTGCTGTTTCAATAGGCAAGTTAACATCTAGTGAAATAATCAAACGTGAAAACTGAACTTTTTTTTCCTTTGGTTATATGGCTCCAATGAAATTATATTAATTTGCCATCCACTTCTCATCTCATTTATTCAATTATCTTTGCAAAAATCAAGGTATTCCCTAATGTATTCACATACAGAAGATACAGGAAAGATGACAAATAAAAGGCACAGATGGCTGGGTTTTGAAAGCAATCCACTAGAAAACAATCCACTAGAATTCAAATTTTCCAGTTGATTCAAATCATATCAGAGTCTTAAACCATCCTAATTCTGTATTTCATTCATACCTTCAATCAATATGAGCTACATCAAACCAAAATGCTACTTGTCATGGTTGCTTCCAGTCATGTTGAAATAGTTTGCTCAAATATCTTTGATAGATTCTTTCATGTTTGTTTCAGACAACACATCATATGCATGTTACCTAGTAATCCATATCGTAAATGGGAGAAGTGGTCCTGAGGCAATGTTTTGTCATTAATTTCCTTAACAAACTTGATTGCTGTGTCTGGCGGCTCTCCTGTACCAGTAGTAGAAATAACAATGACCACTGGATCCCTTTCACTGATCAAGTTGTACTAAAATTCAAAAAGAAACAAAACAAATCTTTGAGGCACAGATCTCCAATACAACTGAATGGTCCTTGCATGCACAATCACAGGTGAACATCAAATAACTTGGGGCAAGCCTTTCTGATGTTTTAGCTACTTTATCAGGCTTTCCTACTGCCAATAGCAATTGTAGATCCAAGTTTTAGCTAAGAGACCTATATTATAGCAGTAATATAACATATAATAGATTTCAGTTACTTGGATTATCAGCAAATCAGTTGTAATTAACAAAAAGAAACATTTATTGTAGTAGGTGGTTTGTGGTTTGCTCTTCTCCACACTCCACTTTGTGGCCCCAAGTCTTAAGGTTGGCTCTGTATCGCATTGTCCCAGAGCAAAATCTGTTCAGCACCTTCCAAGCCACCCAGCCTTCTGTGTGCCTAGGAGGGAGTTTCTTATCTGGTATCAGCTACTGATTGAGGTTCTGGGTTTTAGCCTGCCACTTTTGGACTCTCGCTTGCAGAGGCATTACTGTGTCTCTGTAGATCTTAGGAAGCTATTTCTTAATTTAAGATTTTGGAGTGCTGGTTGATATTGATAATATTACAATGTAATACAATATAATACTACTAATAATAATATGATAATATAATTATATATTTTATATTAAATGTAATATTACTAATAATATTACAGCAGAGGTTCTCAAACTAAGGCCCAAGGGCCAAATACGGCTCTCCAAGGTCATTTACCCGGCCCTCACTCAGGGTCAACCTAAGTCTGAAACAACTTGAAAGCATACAACAACAACAATCCTATCTCATCAGCTGAAAGCACACCCACACTTCCCACTGAAATACTAATAAGTTTATATTTGTTAAAATTGTTCTTCATTTTAATTATTGTATTGTTTTTCAGTATTTTTTGCACAACAAATAAGATATGTGCAGTGTGCATAGGAATTCATTCATTGTTTTTTTCAAATTATAATCCGGCCCTCCAACAGTTTGAGGGACTGTGACCTGGCCCTCTGTTTAAAAAGTTTGAGGACCCCTGCATTACAGTATAATGTTATAATACAATATAGTGACATATAGTATTAATATTGTGCTATGGTAATAATATAATATATTGTATTTACATTTTACTTGTAAGCCGCTCTGAGTCCCCTTCGGGGTGAGAAGGGCGGCATATAAATGTTGTAAATAAATAAATATCTGAGCAGCGGATGGGCCAGAGATGTCATTTCCTTGGTCCTTTTATTACAGGCTGCTACTTCTCGGCGAATGTTAGGTGGTGCAATAAACAGTATAATTTCTCCAGCGGTGTAAGGGCACAGATATCCTGTGATAATGTGGCGTGTCTCATTAAGAGCCACATCCACTGTTTTAATGTGGTGATATGTACTCCACGCTGGGCATGCGTACTCAGCAGTAGAGTAGCAAAGCACAAGGACAGATGTCTTCACTGTGTCTGGTTGTGGTCCCCAGGTTGTGCCAGTTGAGACTCGATGAGAGAGGGGGCCATGGGGCGGTTCCATCTTGACTCCTGCATATGTCATCAGCTGGGGACCCCTCCCCCCAGCAACAACTGCTGCTCTGGATCAGAGTGAAGAGAGAGGGGGCTAGAGGACAGTTCCACCTTGTCTCCTGTGCTATGCTAATAATATAATGTAATGTAATATATTGTTTATACATATAGTATTTATAATATTATAATGTAATGCAATATAATACTACTAATAATAATATGATATTATAATTATATATTTATATTACATGTAATATTACTAATAATATTACAATATAATGGTATAGCACAATATTGTAATATTTAATACTGATATTGTACTATGCTAATAATATAATACATTGTATGTATGTATATATATATATATATATATATATATATATATATATATACACATTGTAAGCCGCTCTGAGTCCCCTTCGGCGTGAGAAGAGCGGCATATAAATGTCGTAAATAAATACATAAATAAATACTGAAAAACTAGAGCAAAATGTGCTGCAGGATGTTTGCAGTTTAATACACTTTTCCCATGTATTTATGATAGAACCAATTAGGAAATGATATTGATAGCGCAGGAAGAAAAAATGTGTTGCATAGTTAATCCAATACATATTCAGTGCAGTGTATAGCAGACATGGGCAAACTTCGGCCCTCTGGGTGTTTTGGACTTCAACTCCCACAATTCCTAACAGCCTACTGGCTGTTAGGAATTGTAAGAGTTGAAGTCCAAAACACCTGGAGGGCCAAAGTTTGCCCATATTTGGTATATAAGATCCAAGAAAGCATTGGATGGGACTCTCACCTTGTCCGACTCACTGATGCAATGAAGATCAGCTTCAAATCCGTGCTCTTTTCCCTGCTGCTCAATTTCTTCTGCGATGGCTTTCGCCTGGCCCTTCTGGCTGGCATATAGTAGCAGAAACCTCCTGCTTGTTTTGCAGCACATCCCTCAAGTATCAACTACATAGGGGAAAAGGAAAAGAAAGGTATGAGTGAATGACTTCAACTCCTCCATAATGACATGATGGCAACAGTCTTGGACAGCAATGGCTCCCAAAGTGACCCATTTAAGGTGGAATCAGGTATCAAACAGGGATGTGTTATTGCCCCAACTTTATTCTCCATCTTCATCGCTATGATACTTCACCTTGTTGATGGGAAGCTTCCCACCGGAGTGGAAATCATCTATCGGACAGATGGCAAGCTATTTAACCTCAGCAGACTGAAAGCCAAAACCAAGGTTACAACAACATCTGTTATAGAACTCCAGTATGCTGATGACAACATCATCTGTGCGCATTCAGAAGAAGATCTACAAGCCACTCTAAACACCTTCGCAGAAGCATATGAGAAGCTTGGCCTGTCATTGAACATCAAGAAAACCAAAGTGCTGTTCCAGCAGTCACCAGCCAATCCATCTCCAATGCCAGAAATACAGTTTAATGGTGTAACATAGAAAATGTTGACCACTTCTGCTACCTTGGCAGCCACCTCTCCACCAAAGTCAACATTGACACTGAAATTCAACACCGCTTGAGCTCTGCGAGTGCAGCATTTTCCCAAATGAAGCAGAGAGTGTTTGAGGACCGGGACATACGTAGGGATACCAAGGTGCTTGTTTATAAAGCTATTGTCCTCCCAACCCTGCTATATGCCTGCGAGACATGGACTGTCTACAGACGTCACATGCAACTCCTGGAACGATTCCATCAGCGCTGCCTCCGAAAAATCCTGCAAATCTCTTGGGAAGACAGGCGGACAAACGTCAGCGTGCTGGAAGAAGAAAAGACCACCAGCATTGAAGCGATGGTCCTCTGCCATCAACTCCGCTGGACCGGCCACGTTGTCCGGATGCCCGACCACCGTCTCCCAAAGCAGTTGCTCTACTCCTAAACTCAAGAACGGAAAACAGAATGTTGGAGACAGGAAAAGAGATTTAAAGATGGGCTCAAAGCCAACCTTAAAAACTCTGGCATAGACACTGAGAACTGGGAAGCCCTGGCCTTGAGCGCTCCAGCTGGAGGTCAGCTGTGACCAGCAGTGCTGCAGAATTTGAAGAGGCACGAATGGAGGGTGAAAGAGAGAAACGAGCCAAGAGGAAGGCGCATCAAGCCAACCCCGACCAGGACTGCCTTCCACCTGGAAAACGATGCCCTCACTGCGGGAGAAGATGCAGATCAAGAATAGGGCTCCACATCCACCATCAGGACACCGAAATTGGAAGACTCGGACAATGAGGGATCGCCTAAGTAAGTAATTAACACAACAACTGATCAATTAATGAGCCATACAATTTAAAACCCCTGGTGTTGGGTTCAAAATGAGGGTGTATCATCTACATTGCAGAATTAACGCAGTTTGAAACTGCTTTAACTGCCATGGCTGTGTGTTGTGGAATGATGGGCGCATTGGCAAAGGTTTGAGTCCCCTCTGCCACAGAATGCTGGCGCCTCAAGAAGCTACAACTCCCAGGATTCCATAACATTGAGCCATGGCAGTGAAAGCCACGTGAGGAGCAATGGCCACAGCAAGGAGTCCTTCCCAATGCTTCTCCCCTCTTTGAGGTGTCCCTCCCCCCGCCTCCCCAACTTGGTACATTCCTCACCAGTCAAGAGAGTGCTAGTTACTGCCCGAGCGGGGGTGTTTCTACAGGCCAACCCCCTCGAAGCACTCTTCCGCAGAACAGTGAGGACAAGGAGCAGGAAACGGTGAGAGGGCGGGGCTCATAGCTGTCAGTCAAGGCAAAAGGGGGCGGGGCATTTTGGCTAGTATTATTTCACAGACTCTCTTCTTTTTGTCTTTTAGCCAATCAGGATCCGCCTAAAGTAGGCGGGGGAACGAAAGGGGATTGCAGCCAATCAACGCATCCTATGAAAGTGTGGGAGTAAGGAATGTGAAGGGAAATCTGATTGGTTCTCTGGTTCTGGTGGGCGGGACTCCAAGGTGGCGGCGTGGTGGACGATGAAGGCTGAGGTAAAACTGGCGGAGAATGTGGGAAAAGAGCGCGAAAGGGGTCCTTGGGGGGGAGCAACGCAATTCTTACGTTGAGTGCCCTTCTAAAGGCCACCGTCACCTTTTCCTACAACAGGTAGGGTGACCTTGCTGTACTTAAATTGGGATTAGAACATAGTTGACTTGAAGGACTACGGAGCCTCAGAAGGGCCAAACTTCCTCAGACTGTTTACATTGTAGCCAATGAGGCTACAGCACAGAGTCGTTCTAAAAGGCAGCTGAAAGGAGCAAGGAATAAAGATAATATATGCAAAGACACAAATCATACAGCAGCATATTGCAGTGAATGTGGCCCTGTCCCCTGTTTGTCCAATTAAACCGGATTATTTTCAGTTTGCACAGCCCAAGGAGGGAGACAAGGGCCCTTGAAGAAGTGAGGGCCACCAGACAAGGTTGAGAGGAGACATGACAGCCATGTATAAATATTTGAAAGGATGTTATAAGGAAATAGGCTTGTTTTCTTCTGCACTGAAGAAAACTTCCAGACAGGCATATAACTCAGAATATCAAGGCAGAAAATCCCACAGTATCTACTTTGAACTGGGTTATCTGAGTCCACACTGCCATATAATCCAGATAATGTGGGATTTTATTCTGCCTAGAGGCCCTTCCAGTCAGACCCTATATCCCAGGATCTGATCCCAGGTTTTCTGCTTTAAACTGGATTATATGAGTCCACACCGCCTGATAATCTGGAATAAGCAGAAAACCTGGGATCAGATCCTGGGATATAGGGTCTGTCTGGAGGGGCCCTAAAACTTGAAGCAATAGGTTCAAATTACAGAAAAGGATATTCCAATCAAACATTAGGAAGAATTTCTGACTGTATCAGCTGTTCAGTAATGGAACTCTCTCCCTTGTAGTGTGATGGAAGCTCCTTCCTTGGAGGCTTTTAAACAGAAGCTGGATGGCCATCTGTCGGGGTGCTTTGGTTGCATGGCATGGGGTTGGACTAGATGGCCCTTGTGATCTCTTCCAACTTTATGATACTATATCTATATTTTTCTATCTAGATTGAGCATCTCTTATCCAGAAATCAAAAGTACTCTGCATGAGAGGTTGAGATAGTGATACCTTTACTTTCTGATTGTTTGACATTCACAAACTTTGTTTGGTGCACAAAATTATTTAAGGTATTATATATACAGGTGAACAGGTGATGAGTATAAGGTGCATATAAAACAGAATTACTTTCTTGTTTAGTCTTTGGTCCCATCTCCATTATATGTCTCATTCTCAACTCCCCTCCTGCACGAAAGAAGTTCTTTTCATCTTTTTCCCCTCAAAGAGGACTTTCTGGGATTGTTGTAAATGTGTTCCTCCAAATCTCTTGCCTTGTGAAAGAAGGAAAGGGGGGTTTCTGCAATTGGGATTTAAAGGAAGAGGCCTTCTAAAGAAATGCAGAATGCTTCTCTTCTACAAAAAAGAATAGCTTCTGGGTTGTATGGCCATGTTCCAGAAGCATTCTCTTCTGACGTTTCTGGAACATGGTCATACAGCCTGGAAAACTCACAGAAACCCAGTGATTCTGGCCATGAAAGCCTTCGACAACACATGGGATGACTTCTGTTTGGGGAGGGGGGATTGAGTTAAGAGGCGATATGGTGTAATGCAGTGTTTCTCAACCTGGAGGTCGGGACCCCTGGAGGGGTCGCAAGGGGGTGTCAGAGGGGTTGCCAAAGACCACAAGAAAACACAGTATTTTCTGTTGGTCATGGGGGTTCTGTGTGCCAAGTTTGGCCCAATTCAATCGTTGGCAGGGTTCAGAATGCTCTTTGATTGTAGGTGAACTATAAATCCTAGCAACTACAACTCCCAAATGTCAAGGTCTATTTTCCCCAAACCCCACTAGTGTTTACATTTGGGCATATTGAGAATCCGTGTCAAGTTTGGTCCAGATCCATCATTGTTTGAGTCCACAGTGCTCTCTGGATGTAGGTGAACTACAACTCCCAAAACTCAAGGTCAATGCCCACCAAACCCTTCCAGTATTTTCTGTTGGTCATGGGAGTTCTGTGTGCCAAGTTTGATTCAATTCCATCATTGGTGGAGTTCAGAATGCTCTTTGATTGTAGGTTAACTATAAATCTCAGTAACTACAACTCCCACAGGACAAAATCAATACCTTCCCCCAATCCCACTAGTATTTAAATGTGGGTGTATTGGGTCTTTGTGCCAAATTTGGTCCAGTGTATGAAAATACATCCTGCATATCAGATATTTACATTACTATTCATAACAGCAGCAAAATGACAGTTATGAAGTAGCAATGAAACTAATTTTATGGTTGGGGGTCACCATAACATGAGGAACTGTATGAAGGGGTCATGGCATTAGGAAGGTTGAGAACCACTGGTGTAATGGCTTGGGGGTTGAATTGTGACTCAGGAGTCTAGGGCTGGATTCCCTGTTCAGCTTGGGAAACCTTGGGCAAATCTCAAGCTGAATCTGCACTGCCATATAATCCAGTTTCTGAATCCAGATTATCTGCTTTGAACTAGAGTCTACTGCCATATAATTGAGTTCAAAGCAGATAATCTGGATTCAGAAACAGGATTACATGACAGTGTAGATGGGGCGCATCCACGACAGAAAAAGGCAAAAGCAAGCCCCTTCTGAAAAAACAGGCTGCCAAAAAAAAACCAAAAAAAAAAAACCTTCATACATCCCCTTTGGGGAGGTAAGCAGGGTATAAATAAATATAATAATAAATAATAATTGCCCTAAACCAGAAACAACTTGAAAGTATATAACAGCAACAAACCCGAAACAAAAATAGGTATCAGGTTACTCATACACTGAATTCATATTTGGCTCATACATTACAGAAAAACGTATCCCTTCCTTCTTTCCTTCCTTCCTTCCTTCCTTCCTTCCTTCCTTCCTTCTTTCCTTTTCCTTCCTTTCCTTTTTCCCCCTTTCTCTGCTTTCTTCCTTCTCTTCCTCTTCCTTCCTTCCTTCCTTCCTTCCTTCCTTCCTTCCTTCCTTCCTTCCTTCCTTCCCAAATTCTCTGTTTCCTGGCTACAATCCACAATCCTTGTGCAAAAGAGATTGAATTCACCAAGCTATAAAATGGGCACAATTTATATTCTGTCTTGTTTTGCACAATTTGTTTTGAAAATTGTTTATTATTTTATATTCTGGTGATCTTCAATATCCCCTAGCCTAGAGCAATGTTATTCAGAGTGGTGGTCTGTGGATCAATGCCAATCCATTGGATGCCAGTCCATTGCAGATTACCAGTGAAGAAAGAAACAGTTGCAGCCAATAGGATAAGTATTTCCTGGCACACTGGAAAAAAACTGTCTGATGTTCTACTACATCAGATTGCTTGGGGAGCACCAAATGTGGAAGGATGAAGAAGTGTGCAGAAGCTGTATTGAAGTTTCTTACCTAATTGCTGGAAATCAGATTGAGATTCCCCTTGTTCTTCTGTTCAGGTTTTTTTTTTTCCAACACAGACACTTTTGACAAGCACCCTCTGACAAGAAGGTGAGAAGAAGCTGATGGTTTGATTCTGTGCCCAACCCATTTTGTTTTAAGAGAATTGTGTTATAGCTGAAGCTGTGCACCTTGCTCTTTCTTCTCAAGTTGTTTTTTTGTTTTAAATGATTGCACGCCATATGGTGATGCTGACTTTTTTTTTCATTTTTCAGAGGGCAGCGTTCACAGCTGATATGAGATGGCCTTGACAAATTTCAGATGTTTCCAGGCGTGTATTTCTAGAGTTCAAGCATGCAGACAACTACTCACTGGAAGCAGAGCCTTGATCCTCTTCACTCAGCCAATTAGCTCACCCAAGTTCTGCTTCTGTAGTTCTTCAGAGCTGCAAATGGTATGTTCAGAGACTGGTTTTCTGCTCCCTGGTTGCAGAAATTACCATATGGAACTGGGAAACCATCTCAGCTCTGTTATAATAAGAACAGAACAGCTCCACGAAGAGGCAGGCAGCAATTTAAAATCTAATAACAAATGGGCAGATGAGCAGATGTTCTTGAAGCAACTGAACCAATTATCTTCATACAAAGACATTTCCAAACTTATACATTCATTAGAAAGCTTATCAGACACAATGGTGGCCGCCACTCTTCAACGACTATGTGATGTTCAACTGGAGGACAATGTACTGAAGAATCTTGAGGAGGTCATGGAAGATGAAGTCTTCAGTTCCCTCTGCTTCCAGCTGGAACAACAATCTCCTAATCTTTCAGATTCCGGGCTTGTAAATGCATTAAATGCTCTGATAAAGTTGCGTGTGGACCCCTGGAGCACCCTGATGGTTCGCTTAGTATCAGAGAGCCAGGAGCGTCTAGATAAGAACCAGATGAGTATTAAAAATTTGTGTGTTCTTGCAGAAAGCGTATTTAGCCTGGAAGGTCCAGGCTGTGCTATGTTAGAAGAAATTATGGCTCAAATTCAAAGTGCAAACCTTGAGGACTGGAAAGTAAATGAAATTGTCATGGTCTACAGAGTTCTGCAGCTGGGAATAGGGGAAAGGGGGAAATACCAGGACTTACTAAACAAAATGAATGATATCGCTGTAACTCAAGTTTCTCAGTTCAACCCCAGACTGACATGTACTGTATTAAATGCTCTGGTTGTGCTTGATCAAACCCAAGCCCTTCCCCTTGTGATAAAACTGTGTAAGCATTCAATACGGCATGTCCCCCACTTTACAGATGATGAGCTAGTTAATGTACTGGAGGCTTTTATTCATTTTGGACACAATGATCAGTTTTTTACTGAAGCTCTGGAAAGGCATGTCACCAAATGTGGCTTCACTATGCATCCCAGCACACACTCTAAAGTCATGCAGTACTGTAGCAAGAAGCACATCCTCTCCAAAACCATTTTCAATGTGGTGGCTGAAAGTTTTGTCTACAACGCCGACAACTTCACAACAACTCAGATAGCTGAGCTGGTTGTCCCATTTGGAAAACTCAACTATTTACCACCATCTGCTCCATCTTTTTTCCGAAAGCTCGAAAGAATACTCAGCACAAGATTTGTTCAATTTCAGCCTCATGTGCTCTTGAACCTTCTTCATTCCTGCACGCTTCTTGAACGCTATCCACTAAATTTTCTGGCAAAAGTATTTAGTCCCTATTTTCTGCAGCAGTTACAAAGTAAGTGCATTAAGATTGTATTTCTGTTACAACTTTCATTTTACAATTGTTTTCATAGTATGTTTCTGGGATGTCCTTACAAAGATCAACATGTTGACACATTTCAAGGAAGTAGCTGTTTCCATCTGCTTCAGGATAAAAAAGAAGGGAAAAATTAATTTTCAAAATTGTCAAGATCTAATAGTTTAGTTCAACTTTTGTGGACTGCCGACTACTTCTTTAGATGCATAGCTATACCCTGGGTAGGAAAACATGTATATGTATATGAGTTGTATGTAAAACTTAATAGAAATGCAAAATATGATAGCATGTTGATGGGATGATCAATTTTAACGCTGATCACAAAATGTTTTTCAAAGCATGGCATTGAGTAATAAGTTGAGATCTTAATAATGAAAGTGTAACTTTATGGTAACTTCTGACAGAAGTTGTTCATGTCAGTTGGGTTCACTGTTTTCCATGTTCTCTTTCCACAGTATGTTCAAAAGAATACCATTCACAGATACAGGTATTATACAGTACTCAGATGGATGTGGATGCGAAATTTGGGGGGGGGGGGGAAGGTTCACACATTACTTAGAACACACAACTCAGAAATATATACTGTTTCCAGGTGTGTTGGTTCTACTGAAAATAGACTTTTCTAGAAGAAAAGTGCAATAGCACAACTGAAATGGAAGTTTGAATTTAGTACGTATAGGGTACCTAGTCAGTGACTTGTATACATGCACCTTGTATTACGCAAGTCCCTTTTCAAATACAGCATGGAGAATGTTCATGTTCTGAGCTTCTAGCAGAAGGAAATGGCAGGAATTCCCCATTTAAAAGCACACCCTAATTTCTCTCCCAACTGGGGCCCCTTCCACACAGCTGAATTCAATCCCACATTGTCTGCTTTGAACTGGAATATATGCAGTGTGGACTCAGATAATCCAGTTCAAAGCGGATATTGTGGAATTTTCTGCCTTGATATTCTGGGTTATATGGCTGTGTGGAAGGGCCCTAAGCTGAGACCAGTGGCTTCTCCATGGTCTGAATTGCCTCCTTCCACTTCCCCTGCACTGATAAGAGACAGTAGCAGGGGCCCATTTTGCAGTTTGACAGCTCCCAAATAGTGGAGAGATGTGGAATTGTGCATATTTGTAGGATCCTGACTGGTCTGTGTGCAATGAAGTGGCCATCTCTATTCAGACTTCCCCTAATAGTTGAAAATTTTTGAATGCATCTTATCTTTGTTCAGACATCTTCTAATAACTGGAGATTTCTGAATGACTCCCCATTCTGCCCGTGCCCCCAATCTCCTCTTAAAATCTTTGTTCCACAATAGCAATTTTGAGATTAGTAACAGACTATCCTGGGAAATTGAAGTGTTCCATTTCTAATGTCCTGTTGTTTCAATTTATTCTGTCACTTAGAGATAGTCTTGTTTGTTCTATAAATCCTTTAGAAGGGCATTACTGACAGGCAAAGGCATTTCTGACATTGGAATAGGAACAAATAAACACACCTCTGATGTTGTGGGTAATATTATTAGGGCCTTTGATGCTGAGTCAATATGAAGACAGAAATCGGCCTCTGATTTTGTTAGGGAGATTATGATGGCCTTGAAAATAGTTTGTCTGTTTTCCCTGGTTTTCCCCCTGCAATGTGAAATCTCAAGGGAGCTGTGACATCTTGTAAGATGATGGTGGGAAACTTTTGTCCCTCCAGTTTTTTCAGACCACAACTCCCATCAGCCTCGCCCAACATGAACAGTGGTAAGGAACTGTGAAAGATATAAACTTAAATATCTAGGGAAGTTGTTGTAAGGCACATTGTCATGTCACACAAAATAGGACCTAGCCCCATGTTTCCTCAGTGCTCTATAGAAACTGAGAATCCATCTTAGAATATGCTCTAGAATTTGGGACAGGGAAACTAATGCAAAAAAAAAAAGTTTTACAAGAGTTAGAAGAGAACCCCTGATCTGGAACATCTTGAATTCTGTTTGAATGATCTGGGAAGCTGGTCCAGCATAATAGCTTTGATGCAAAGCTGTGAATAGAACTGTTTCAGTTTGAACCTTGGTTCTCCCTTGATTTCACCAAGTTGCCTCAGGGCCCTTCCACACAGCCCATCTATCCCAGAATATCAAGGCAGAAAATCCCACAATATCTACATTGAACTGAGTTATCTGAGTCCACACTCAGATAATGTGGGATTTTCTGCCTTGATATTCTGGGATATAGGGCTGTGTGGAAGTGCCCTCAGCTAAAATTCGCCAACCCACAGCTCTAATATGTGTGGAATAACAGTCCTTAGTTTTGCAGGACATTGAAAGGATTATAACAATGATGAAGCAGAGGTTGGTTACCTTTGGTTCTCTGGGTACTCTGGGCATCAATTCAGTTCTTCTGGGCATGCTTGATGGGGATGGTGGAAATAGTCGGTAAAAACACTTGGAGGACTATACTTTCTTTATTCCTGGGATAAAGAGTGCTAAGTGCTTTAAGTTCTTGAAAGGACTATGCAACTGTTGCATTTTCCTTTGACTGCAGAGGATACTGCAAATGTCAGAAGTGCTTCTGCTTTGTGAAAGGAAGGGATGTAAGCATGTAGGAGAAATACTCATTCATCCTTATTTCTTTTTATACTTACATCCATTAAAAGACATGTTCTAGTTAAATGAGTTCATCTTGCAAGGTAGGAGTTCATACTGGGGATTAGAAATGGGATGTGACAATTGGGAATTGGGTCCTGTAATTGCTGTGACTGAAGTGAGTAAACAGTGTAACAGATTTGGGAGTGAACTGTCTGTCTTGCTTACCATCATGTTAGATGTGGTTTTGTATTGCTGTAAAGTCCTTTAAAGATGCTCTATTCTTGGGACAATAGTTTGCATTTCTTTTTTAAAGTTAACAAGACCTATCTTGATGTGTCTGTGTGACTCTTTGTATTTCAGCCAAAGAACCTCACTTGAAGAAGCTAGTTCTTTCGCAACTGACCCAGATGTTTCTTACTGTTATACTGGAGTGCCCATCTTATGACGTAGGAAACAAATGCTGCTTTTTGTTTTTGCTTATGTCTGATTCTATGCATGTTTACTCGAATTGATAAAATTGCCTTATTATATGAGCAATTTACTAATGCTACATATTAGTATTCAAAATTAGCAGTAGTAATAATGATTATCACTGGTACATTAGGCTGAAATAATGTTGCTTCTTAGTTTCAGGGTATGCCAAATCTCCATTGATATCTTCCATTGATGTCCCTTTTCAGTTTGGAATACAAACAGGAACTTCTCCAGAAACATTCCCAGAAATAAATCAATGGGAGGCAAATCAAGTAGAGAAACATGGCACACACACGTATACCCCATAATTTTCCACTATTAAATATGGTCCTCCTGAATATTCACATTAGGATTTCACTGCACCTATTACTCTTTCAGCTCAACATTGCATCTGCACAGGGATGTTAATATTTACCTGCTTCTCCTCTGGAATGAAGAAAAATAATTTCCAGTTTTTTACTTGCTTTAGAAATAATGAATATTTCTGCACAGTTATCAGCTGTATCACTCAATTTTGGAGAATTATTCTGTGTGGAATAGGATTTTTAGTGTGTGAGAGTGGTAATTGTGTACTTTTGTAATAGTTTCCAGTCAGCCATATGGGGCTTTTGTGAAAAATAGCAGAGAAATAGACTTGCACAGATGACAGTACAATAGGTGTGTTTGTGCAAAATTCCACAATTCTCATATAAAATATTTATATGCAGAATAAATTTTGAAACACATCAGTATATGTTAACACTAGGTAACGCCTATGCAAAACCCTTGCTGCTATATTATTTTTCCCAACCATTTCCCCCTCCTTCCCAATGATAGATTGCAGTTAACTTATTAAGCTCCCCCCCCCCCCCCAATACTGCTTGCTTACTTTTCCAATTTGGCTGGAGGAGGCAAATTTACCTGTTTTTCTTTTCTTCTTTTGTGTAATAGGGTCCCAAGCTCCTTCCCAAATACCGAGTCAAGTCCTTTCTCACTCCAGGTCATTCCCTGGAGTCCTTGCCAGACGTGCATTTTTTCAGCAGAGTGAAGGCTGGCTTGGTTGATCTCCTGGGAGCCCGGACATATTTCGCCTCCCATGTGTTAACGCCATACTGTTATACTCTAGGTAAACAAAACTTTGCTCATTTTTAGTGGGACTGTACTTAAGTTTTGGTGCATTTGCAGTATGTCTTGTTTGGGTACAAAATGGCATTGTGTTAATTCTAGGGAAGACACAGCTTGTATGCCTTAGTGCAGAGCTTCTTAAACTTTTTCTACTTGTGACTCCTTTCTGTCTGAGAATGTTTTATGCAACCCCCGGTATATATGTACATGAAATAGCGTAAAAATCAAATATTTACTGATAATAAATCAGCATTTGCAGGTCTTGCTAAACTAGTAGTTCTCAGCCTGTGGGTCCCCAGATGTTTTGGCCTTCAACTCCCAGAAATCTTAACAGCTGGTAAACTGGCTAAGATTTCTGGGAGTTGTAGGCCAAAACACCTGGGGATCCACAGGTTGAGAACCACTGTGCTAAACAGACAGATTTTATTTTTTGTGGCACTGAATCATTTTCTGATGAATGCACTATAAATACTGCACAGGTTGTTGTTCACAGCTTGGTGTAAATGTCTGAAACAGCCACTAGCTGGTATTTTACTGTTGCCAAATTTCATGTACCCCAACATTGAGCTAAGAGGATCTCATCTGGAGTCCGAACCACAGTTTAAGATGTAGTGTCTTAGTAGAATGAAAAACAAAACAAGAAGCTACAGCAGGTCTTCCAAGCAGTTATAGAGATCTATTTAGGTTTCAGTCCAAGTAAACAGCAGGAAAGAAAATACATCTTCTTTCCAGCTTTCTATCAGCCTGACTGTCACTTGTGAGCTGCCCATCATAAAAGAATATGGCCTTAAGGACATTTGGATCCACCACACCTATGTGTTTTGTGTTAATGTCACGTTCAGCCATACATAGTGTATGAGCAATGGGCAACCTATTGCTCTGAGGATACCTGTAGCCCTTGGCCTGACTTTGACTCATGCAAACACATTCTGCAAGCAGTCAGTTAAAGCTGTAGGCAAAAGCAATCCATTCTTCTCCCTAAGTTTGCTAGACATTGAAGAAAGTGAGGAGAGAGGGAGGAAAGAAAAGGGAGGAATACGAGAGTGGGAACAGGATGTGACAAACCATTACCACCTTGTAACCCCAATAGTTATCACTCAAGATGATGAAATATTTAAGAGAGAAAATGTTCTCCACCTTCATGCCTTCCTGAAATACAGACATTACCATCAAGAGAAAACCTCTTTTATGCCACCCAACTTTTCCGATCTTCCTTTCATTGCCATCCACATGCAAAATGATTGATTTGGAAATTGCTTTATGTTATTAGCCATGTTAAAAATGAAATGTCAGTGTTGTGTAATTTAAAACAACAACTCTCCTAACCTTTGCAATATAACTGTTTTCTCAGTCATTTCTAGTGTAGATTATCCAGGAGTTTGTCAAGGTACTCCCAGAGTTAAGCACAAGCAGGAAGAGAAATGCTGATGTGTCTGTGGCTTTAGCAGTAACATATACAAGATGTAATTACTGTCAAAAGAAATCTTACTTGTCCCTTTCTTGCACCAGACATTGAGATTAAACTCGATGAAGAAGGATTTGTGCTACCAGCTAACAGAAATGAAGATGTGTACCAAAGGTGAGGGAAATGAAATGGTTGGAGAATGTGTCTTCACAGATAGAAGTGAATATCAGCTCTGGAAAGCAACTCAGTTGCCATGCTCCACCCCATCCTTTGCATTTAAACTAACTGAAAGAAGTCATTCTGCTTCTCTGCATTTTTCTCCTCCCACCTCACCTACTCATTCCACTTCCATTCACTTTCCTAGCACTGTTGCCCGAGGAATAAACAAGCATGGTTCCTACCACGGCAAATGGAGAAGGAAGGGAACCACAGCCTTCATATATAACTGCTAATTCAAATATTTCTGGCCTAGGAGACTGGGATATGTGAATATAGTTTTCCACAGTGAATGGGTAACAGCAGCAATATACCAGAAAAAAACAAACGTTCCATCTGTTCTGCTCATGCTCTTGAGACCTGCTGGAAATTGCTGTTGTTTGACTGTTCTGTCATCAGGTCCAGCGTTTTTGCTAAAATGAACTATTATTTTCTTGTGTATCCTTTGCACAAGAATATTTAAAGTGCTTGCAGCTGCTGTGGGCATTAGAGGATTGTTGCACGTGTTGTCATGCTCTAGCACACCCTTGGCTATAGCTTTTGTCTAAAATGTCCCATGCTGAAAAACAGAAGAGATGGATCCATCCAGGGATGTAAACTCATAGTTAAAGGGTATTAATATTAAGGGTTGGCTTCCCCTTCAATATTCAAATGGTGTTTAAATGTTACTAAATTAATTAAATTAAACCTTGCAGAAGTGTTAGCCAAACTGTATCAGAAAAGTATGGCCAGGTGTCTGCATTATCCCAGACATGTAATATCCTAAAAAGGACTAATTACTCTATACTCTTCAATAATATTTTGTATTTTAATTGGCAGAATAGCTGTCTGCATTGATGACCAAAAGAGATTTTGCGCCAACAGTCACAATCTTTTGGGAAGAGAGGCTATTAAGCAAAGACACCTGCGGCTCCTTGGATATGATGTTGTGCAGGTAAGTCTTCAAAGAATTTGTTCAAAAACAAATAACTGCCGTGCCATTTTGGGGGGGGGGGGGGGGCAGGGACAAGAGGCTGCAAAAAATGTGTACATGGGTGGGAAATGGATAGCATATACACAGAGAAAATAAGTAGCAAATTACAGTCCTGAATCAAGCCAATGGCTCACCTTGCTCCAGGATTGTCAATACTATCAGGTAATGGCTCTCCAAGGTTTCAAACAGCAGTTGTGCCTCAAGATGCTGCTTTTTTGTGTGTCAGAAGCGACTTGAGAAACTGCAAGTCGCTTCTGGTGTGAGAGAATTGGCCGTCTGCAAGGATGTTGCCCAGGGGATGCCCGGATGATTTGATGTTTTTATCATCCTTGTGGGAGGCTTCTCTCATGTCCCCGCATGAGGAGCTGGAGCTGATAGAGGGAGCTCATCCACCTCTCCCTGGATTTGAACCTGTGACCTGTTGGTCTTCAGTCCTGCCGGCACAGGGGTTTAACCCACTGTGCCACCGGGGGTGACAAGATGCTGCTGATTCAATCTGGGATCTTCTGCTAGTAAAGCATTTATTTATTTATTTATTTATTTATTATTTGCATTTGTTAACCGCCACTCTCAGCCCGAAGGCGACTCGTGGCGGTGTACAAAACATAGAACATAAAGACAACGCTTACAGTAAATTCAGAGACATAACACACATCTTACTAACACACAACTAATTAAGCTAAAAATCCGCTTCGTCTTGTTTGGGTCATAATCAGTCTCGTAGTCCTAGTCCATTCCGGTGGTCATACCAAGCATAGCACTTAATCGAAGGCTTTTTCAAAGAGCCAGGTTTTTAGGCCCTTGCGGAAGGCCATAAGGGAAGGCGCCTGTCTAATTTCAGCGGGGAGGGAGTTCCACAGCCGGGGGGCCACCACCGAGAAGGCCCGCTCCCTGGTCCCCGCCAAGCGTGCCTGTGAGGCAGGCGGGACCGAGAGAAGGGCCTCCCCGGATGATCTCAAGGTCCTCGTGGGCTCGTAGGCCGAGATGCGGTACTCAAGGTATTTTGGGCCGGAACCGTTTAGGGCTTTGTAGGTTAGCACCAGCACCTTGAATTGAGCCCGGTAGCTGATCGGCAGCCAGTGGAGCTGGGACAGCAAGGGCGTTGTGTGCTCCCTGCGTCCCGCTCCGGTTAACAACATGGCTGCCGCGCGCTGGACTAGCTGGAGCTTCCGGGCCGTCTTCAAGGGCAGCCCCACGTAGAGAGCGTTGCAGTAGTCGAGGCGGGATGTGACCAAAGCGTGTACCACCGTGGCCAAGTCAGACTTCCCAAGATACGGACGCAGCTGGCGCACAAGCATGTGCTTCATTGTTAAGATGTTGCTTCTCCCTACATATTAATTCCATTGATTTCAGTCTGACCTGTTTAGAACCTATCTTTATTTAGTAAATCTGCCTATGTTAGAAGAAAAGGATTATTTTGTATGTTTGTAATGGATTTTTCATTTCTTTTAACTTTCAGATTCCATTTTTTGAGTTTGAGTCATTACACAACAGAGGTGACATATTGGAATATCTGCACAGGAAAGTCTTCCCCAGCTCATATAGACTTAGCTGGTGATGCAACAGCAGCCAAATACTGCTCAAATTTCTGTAGGGACTGTGGCTTATTTATTTTTAAAAGCTGAGATTAAATTTATCTTGATTTCTATTTCTGCCTTCCAGTAAGACACATGAGAATTATGTAACATTATGGTAAAATACAACCAAATTTTCTGAGTATGGATAAAATGATTTTTTTTTAAAAAAAAATGGAAACAGTAGCAAGTTTTTTTCTTCAAAAGCACAGAGGACTGCACCGAGAAGTGCACAAGAGCACTTACTGCTAAAAGCAATGTGAAAGTTTCATCTTCAGTGTGTATATGTATATTATACTGTATATTATAATACACACATATTTGTATATTATATGTGTGTGTATATCTATATTGTATAGTATATTATAATATACAATATACACATACACACATATATAATATATATATGTGTGTATTATAATATACAGTATAATATACATATACATACATATATTATGTATTATATACATATAATATACCAGTGAGTATAATATACTAGTGAGTATAAAATAAAAGTATTGTGTAGATTCTACACATAAGAAGTTTGAAAACATATAGCTGTAAAACTTTATAGACACCGTCTCACCCATCAGTCACCAGGCGCACCCATTACATGCAATGCTAGGATCTCTTTGCCTTTCTGAGTAATGTTATGTGTAGACCTGAACTATAATCAATTTAAGTGTGAAATCATATTAAATGCATATTAAATGCATTTTCCCTTTAGTAGTTTTAGCAGATTTATCATGTCAGTGTGGTGTGGTGATTTGAGTGTTGGACTAGGACACCAGAGGACAAAGGTCCACAATTTAAACCCACTTTACCTTGGGTAAAGCACGCTCCTCAGCAGAAAGCAATGGCAATACTGAACAATTTCTGTGACGCAAAGCATGTGATAGGTTTATTTAGGGTCGCCATTAGTCAGATATGAATTGAAGGCACATAACAATTGCTAGAAGTATGTCATTAGCTCTTTGGAAGGTACGATTTCTCTTGTTCGTAAGGGAGCAAAATCATGAAATAAAAAGTGCTGCCAGTTTTTGAGGTTGGTTTAATGATTGTTTTATTTATGAATCAAAGCTGTCATCTAAATATTTACTATCTACTTGTAGACAAACATATGGATACTTTAGCTAGGTGGGTGCACTGAAAAAGACAAATCAATTTTATCCCTTTCATGGAAGTAACTTCCGTTTTTTTTAGTATTACTGCCTGATTTTATTCCCTTCCTATAAGTACAACATTGATGCAAGCTGCTAATTACACAAATGTGTCAAAATAAGTCGGCATAGCTGACTTGATGTAGCTCAAATCCCTGCAGTAAAATCATAGGGCTGATGTTACTACATTTTAATTGACAATAGTACACTACAGGGAGTTAAATGGAGGTCTGTTTTGCTCATGGCAGACAAGCCTTAAGTTGGATCGCCACTTCTGGTGATTTTCTTTATCAAGCAAGCAATTTGATTTTTCCTGTAGAATTCTGCTTGAATGTGGTTAATGCGAACATGGTCTCGATTGACCTCCTCCACAGGCTTGTCTATGCGCCACCCGTACTCAGAAGAGGACAAGACAGGTGTAGGCCTTGCTTTTTCCTGTAATAACATTTTGAAACATAACATCTCAGTGTAAGAAAGTGAGAAGAAAAAAAAACAGTCAAACAATGAAATGAGATGTGAGGTTTAGCATTACTGGTTTCTTACATTCAGCCTGGAAGAATCACAGGCTGAAATGAGTAATTTCTGAGATACTTGGCCCAAGTTTTGGATCCTTTGGCTGGTAAGAGGAAGGATGGGCAAATCTTTCTAACTCACCCCCTGTTCAAGCAAACTATCAAAGGGAAAAGAGGGTAGGGAACATTTTTTTAACTGACAACTCCAGCTTTCAACCAGGGCATGGCTTTACTATGGCTTGTTTTTTAATTTTTCGATCACTTATTTTTGGAAATGATGTAGGAGGAAGTCAACCACAGGTGTTCCAGTTTTTGCACAGCATTTTGTGACTGCCTCTGCAGCTGCCACAGTACCCTCATCTTAAAAAGATTTGGAATGTCAGCACTTGCTGAAAGATAACTGTATACTTTACTATTACTTCATTTGGTGGCCCAACTGAGATACCCAACTGAGGAAAAGAGCCCCTGTAATCTGAAACAAATTTCTGTTCATCCAACACTTTTTTTTTAAATAAAGGTACTTCTTGCAAAAAAAAAGTATTAGAATACCTTAAAAGTAAAGGTTTCCCCTTGTCATTAAGTCTGGTTGGGGGATGGTGCTCATCTCCATTTCTAAACCAAGGAGTCGGCATTGTCCACAGACACCTCCAACCAAACTGCTACGTTGGCAGAAAATGGTGCTAACAGTGGGAGCTCACTCCACTCCCTGGATTTGAACCAATGACCTTTCAGTTAGCAAGTTCAGCAGCTCAGCGGTTTAACCCACTGCGCCACCAGGTGGGTCTGATCTTATGTTTAGTTTGATCACATTACAAATGGATGGCCATCTATCAGGGGACTTTGTGTTTTTTCCTGCATGGCAGGGGGTTGAACTTGGTGGCCGCTGTGGTCTCTTCCAATTCTGTGACTATGATTAATGGTTCTCCCAAATAAAGATGCTTGGGATTCTGTCCTTAAGATGAAGCTTGCTAGTACAGGACAAAGTTTTGAGCTGTGCCGACAACTGATTTTATAATGGCTAAGATAACAAATAGAAAGGGAGGGGTGTAATTGTGGTGTCTGTCCAGCTGTATAATCCAGTCAATCATTTCAGCATAATAATTACCTCCTCATTAATACGAAGTCCCCTGCTTTTTGCATGCTCCCTGTCACACCGATGGAGTTTTGGATCATAGCCAGGGGGTCTTTTATAGATGCAGTCATATACGCAAAAAATTCCTGGCTTGAAACAAGGATGGAGATGTTGAGTTGAAAGAAATGCCATTAATTGTCAAAAGAACAATACAGTATATGCCTGACACCAATTGATCATGTGGACATGTTGCCTTCATGTGCAGCAGCAGCATGGGACATGGCAGAGCCACAGTCCTTTAGGGATGGGCAGAGTAGCCTGGCTATCACAAGCACTAGAAAGCTGTGTAGACCTTCCATATTCCCACCTCACCTTATGGAATGTGAAACTGTCCTTAATTAATATGTTTATAGCATTCAGAAACAATGACAGAAACTTTTAAAAATGACAGTCAGGTTTGTAATTATAAACACTTGTGTCCTATTACAAGCAAAATAAAAAAAGGAAGGATTTGGCTTGCTATGAGCCTTAGGCACTCATCTACTTCCCTGGTTATGAGAATGAGACTGACAGCAAATGGGAATAGGACAGTATCTCTGGTATTTTTTCCTCATCCCTCTTCACAGCCACTCACTGGTTGGAAAACATGTACATGGACTACTTGACCCACCTGGATCTCTTAAAGCTCAGGTGAGGTGAAAGACAATATCCCCATCACCAGTGCTGTGCCAGTTCAATGAAAAGGGAAATAAAAGGGTGCAACTCCAGGAAGATCTTGGAAGATTGCTGACTGGAAGATTTTTGAGCATGTTGGCTCAGCAAAGTAACTTCTGTTAAGCTTAAAGAACATACTTCTCCATTGCTTTGTCCGATTGCAGAGTCCTTTGGGATTCCTATGTCTTAGACAATTTGGGGTTGTTGCACCCAGATTCTCCTTGCTAGGTCATACTTTCTCCTTCAGTGGTGCTAAATGAACAATGCACCAGGGCATAGGAAAATTGCATCTTGAGTTAAGCCAGGCCATGACTCCTTCAGGTCAGATATATCTTATTACTATTGCAATATAGATTTCAAAATGAAACTCTGGCTTTAGAATGCCCACTGGGACTCAGTCCTGGTATTACACATGTAGCTCTTGTGGAGCAATTCATAATGCAATCTCTCAAGAACCTTTGTGATGGAAATGTCCCTGCCAGTGATAGGCTAAGCTTCAAAATCATTCTATTGTTGCACCTGACTGAGTATCTCCAATCCCAGAGAGAAAGAGAGGTAAAGGAGTCAGAAAGGAGGAACAAAAAGTTCTCTAAGAAGGTAAGATCTTGAGGGCTGAGAAGGCAGGAGGACCTGGCAGATTGTGTGTGTGTTTGGGCAGGTGAGTGGGAGCAGAGCTGTAAAAGCACATGCTTAACTGGAAAGAACAAGCCACATCGTTGACAGTGAGTCTCCACCCCTTGCAAATTCTTTGCCAAGGTAAGATGCACTTCATACCCATGGCAACCAGATCACAAAAGAGGCTTTATACCTCCAGAAAAACTAGCAAACTCAGACATTAGTACACTCAGGGAAAGATTGCATGCAGGGAAGGGTGCAATAGGGGTGAAAATGGGCTCCCGAATTTATATAATTGAAATTGTGTTTTAGGAGGACTAGTAGCATGGTGACTAGTACCCTCTTTGAGTCTGTGCTTATAGATCAGATTGCTTGATTGCCCAGTGCTGGCTGGGTTTGACAGATACACCTAGCTTTGGAACAAGATGTCTACAGGTCCATGGCTTTCCCTGCAGCAGCTTCTTGATTTTTTTGGAGTCTCTCTCAAAGGAAGTCAGGCTGGTACCAACATTGTTGAGAACACAACAGGCAGCTATGATATTATTATTTCTTTATGGCTCAACTTTTTTAAAAAAAATGTTTTTTATATTGTGATTTTAGTATGTGTTGCCTCTGTGGGCTCTGGTGGGTAAAGACATTTAGAAATGTCACCTCTCAATATTATTATCAGTGGTATCATCAGGAGTGGCTATAATTGCTAGTGATATATTGGAGTCAGAGCTCACAAAGTCAAAATGCCTTCTGCTTTACTGGGATCAATCATAAGATACCACTCCTTGGAGCTTTGCTTTAATCTTTAGGGTGGCTGACCATAGATTTTCTCTAACAAGATACTATTGTGAGCAATTCTTGTCATTATGTAAATAATTCATGGTTGCAATTTAGACCTATTAGCTGTACAAAAGATTTTCTCCTGGTTGGGATAAAAGCTGCTGTTAAGCCATCGCTGATATAAGTAAAACTACATAAAGCAGGGGTCCTCAAACTAAGGCCCGGGGGCCAGATACGGCCCTCCAAGGTCATTTACCCGACCCTCTGAAACGACTTGAAAGCACACACCAACAACAACAATCCTATCTTATCAGCCAAAAGCAGGCCCACACTTCCCATTGAAATACTAAGTTTATATTTGTGAAAATTGTTCTTCATATTAATTATTGTATTTGTTTTCACTACAAATATATGTGCAGTGTGCATAGGAATTCATTCATGGTTTTTTTTCCAAATTATAATTCGGCCCTCCCAACAGTTTGAGGTACTGTGACCTGGCCCTCTGTTTAGAAAGTTTGAGGACCCCTGACATAAAGGAATGAAGTGGCACCTTTGAGATAACGGGGAAAAGAACATTCGTAACACAAACCTTCATCAACAAATAATCAACATCACCATCATTCATATGTGTGTATGTATGTGTGTGTGGATCTATTTGTACCACAAAAATGCTGTTGGTAGGTGAAGTGGCCCTCTGCAATATCACTGGAAAAGAGAGGCTATGTATATAAGGGGAAGAGAGGAAAGAAGACAGGCAAGAAAGAAAAAGGAAGAAGAAAGAAGGAGGGAAGGGAGGGGATAACAAGGAGAATATGAGGGGAACAAAGGATAGAAAGAAAGGAAAGTGGAACACAGAGAAGAATGAACAGATGAAGGGAGTGAAGTAAAAGAGAAAAAATAGGAAATCGAAAGGAAGGAAAAGAAAGAAGGAAGGAGGGGAAGTGTATGATGGGCAGGAAGGGAAGAACAAAAGAAAAGGGAGGAAGAGCCTCGAAGAAAGTCTGCCCACCACCATTGCCAGAGTGTTGCCATGGAGGCATTGTGAGATAGGCCTTAGAGCTGGGGAAGGGAGAAAGTAGGTGGGCAGTAGTTCCAATTATTTATTTACTTCATTTGTATACAGTTCTTCTCAGCCCTTAGGCGACTCAGAGTGGGCTGGACAACACTGAGTATATATGCTAGTTTCTAACATAAACTTGCACGTCATCCATGAACGCTTTTGTCAGAAATGTATTTCCCTCACTTTCTCTCAAAGGTGGTGCTGGGATCCTTTATGACTTCTAAAACAAACTAGCACTGCAACTTTCCATTTTGTTCAGCTCAAACCAGCTGCTTGCCTTGAGGAGGGGGTTCTTTTGGGGTCATGGCTATAAAGACAGACATAAAAAATATCTGCAGTTTAAAATTTGCCAAAGCATCTCTGGTACCTTGAAGACACCAGCTCACAAAAGATCTCTGTTTGCTAATTCACAGAAATGCATTCAAACTATTGCTAATGAGGAAGGAGAAAACTCCCTGACTTTAGATCATTCTCTAAATTGGCTAATGTCAAACTATTGCCAGTGAAAGGTGGTATGTGTAAAAACTGCATATCTAGCACAGAGATAGTAATTAGAAACTCATGTCATAATTTCCTAATGGTACCTAAAGTGTGTTAAAGTGAGCTCTCCCCGCTTCAACACACACTTCTCTGTATATTCCATCATTGCAACACTAATTTAGACTTTGAACCCTTCCTGCCCATTCTCTTCTCCACTGCTCTGAACTCACCTTACTCTCTTGGTGGAAATAGCTGAGTTCTGGAGGATCCATACGACGAGGTGGAACATAGCTGAAGGCTGACTGTGCAGAGAGTGGGAGTTTATGCTGCCTTATTAGTTTCTCATTGATGCCTCCCAGTTCCTCCACTTCTTCTTCCTCCTCGTCCTCGGCTTCCCCTTCCTTCCCATTTTGGATTCCTGGCATTCCCCAGCCAAGCTTGAACTGGCCGGCTGGACTCCCAACACAGCTTTCTTCCAGCTTGTATGTCTGCTGAGTTCTTTGGTTACTAAGAGACAGTAATGCATCCACTGTGATGTCAATCAATATACCCAGGGCCCTAGAAGGTGGAAGGAATTGGCTGCTGGGGAGCAAAAGTGCCATTACAAGAGCTAACAAATACACTTTCCCTGAACATGTAAAATTACTGTCATTGAGAGTACATTATTTGTGTACAGAGGTTGGCAGCCCAATCGCTTTCTTCTGAAAGGACAAAACAAAAGGATGACTGCATGGAGTGGTGCTTGGTAATGTTTTACTTCTAAATTAATTCACTGTGGAGAGCTTTCTGCATGAAACTGTCTGGTTTCCAAAATATGAGACCCTTCCCATCAGTGGGCCAACACCTTCAAGGAGGTGGGGATGGAGCCTAGAAAGTGACTTACTTTTTGTTGGAAAATAGCTGAAAGGTTCCCAAACAATGCAGACATTATTTATCAAGCCACGGGGTCAATTTATGAATGATTCATGCTTTTGAAGAACCAGACCAGAACATCAAGTACATCTCAGCTATGCTACTAATAAAGAGCACTGACTGGATGAATCAATTTTTAAATCCTAACTGTGGGCATTCTACTTGTCTGACTATATAGCTGTGCCCCCCCCCTCCAAATCCAAAAGGGCAAGCAGCTGGAAGAAACACATAGCAAACAAATCCCCATTTGTGGACTGAACCAGGGTGGAATTTAGCATAGTGTGTCTAACCCAACAGTCTGAAAATCTCAATTTTCACTATAAACAACTCCCCACCCCTCAAAATACCGCATTACTTATGCAAACAGCAATAGATTTGCAAGGGTGACAGCAATGTCTGATGATAATCCTCAAATACAGAAGGTCATGTTGAGCGAGTGTCCCCCAATAAATGTACAGCAGAGTAACTTATTAGTAGCAGCATGACCCAGCAGCAGTAGCCCAAAGTGATAAAAAGAACAAAATAATATGTAGTAAAATAATATGGTTGCACTATTTACAAGAACAAGGTTTCCATAACACAAATGAAGTGTTTTATACTTCCTTCTTTACTTTCATGCCAAGCTTCTTCCTCCTGCAGATAAACAGCTTCTAGCTTCACTCTCACAGAGCTTCCTTTCACACTAAACTTACACAGAAGCTTCACAAAAGTAGCTTTACACAAAGCAGTCTTCACACACTGACTTTCAACCTGGAGCTTCTCTCAGCAAAGCTTCACACTAGGCCCTCTCACAGACTAAGGCCTACATCACACTGTGAGGCCTTCTCACAGACTGAGACCTTTCTCCCACTGAGGTTTACCTCAGACTGACTGCTATTAAGCTACATGCACATCTGCTTATATAGAACTGCAGCTTTTGCTGAGTCATTGCATTCATATAACCCTTTCAGTGCTTGACTCACTTTTTTTAAAATTAAAAAATACCTTGTTAATTTTTAATATTTCTGACAGGTCAAAGGTGGGAGGTATGAAACCAGAGCTGACTATTTGCTTTGGTCCTCAAAGCAAATCACTAGACTCCGATTTTAAGCGTATCATTGGGCTTTTAAAAAGTAAACATTCCTTTCACCATACCTCAGCCAGTAAATATTGAAACCCTACTAAAGAAAAGAAAGTAGATCCATGTCTGAAACCAGCCCAGCCATGTAAGAAGAGAGAACAGTAGAGGTTTTGGTGACAGAGAAGATGTCAGGACTCTGCAGAGCTTCTCCCTCTCGCTTCATTTGTATAACAAACTCAATACCTTTAACTGTGGTTTTGGAGGACTTGTGGGAAGAGGTAGGTGCCATCGTGAATGTTTGGGCTCCAGGAGCCCAAAAGGCGTGAGATGGCTGTGGCAACTCACCCACAGGAGCATCCTGGGGTGAGTCCCCACAGGCCCAATACCTCATTAGACCCATGCCTTTCAGGAAGGCCAAGGTATAATGGGATATTTAATTAATTTGGAAAAAAAGTGCAACAAGCCCACATTTTGGGGCCTGTCTGGAAGGGCCCCCAGAGAGCATATACTGGTATTAATCAAATCTGCAAATAATGTAATCCACAAAAGTTAACTCCACAAATGTCAATGTCCAAGTGTAGTGAAATAGACCTAAGAAGCATAGAGGAACTATAACAGAGAAAGAACTTATGGAGACAAATGCAAAGTGTTTACTACCTAAGATAATTAATTTTCCTATTTGCTCAAATGTAATTCTCACCTTTATTTTGGCTAAATCACCTCACCAAAATTAGGGTGCACATTAGATTCATATCATATGGTCATCTTAGTGCTGACAGTCAATAAAAGTGGATTCATTCACAGCATGGATATGCCCTAAGGTTTTCTTTTCCATTTCTGGGAACTTTGATGTTCTAACACTTTTGTTTTAAAAGAAGGAATTTCAAGTATGCAGCAACTGTAATGCACATCTTTTTGGCCAAATTACAAAGAGGGCACTTTTTGCCACTGCGCATTACATTTGGCAGCAAATACTTTTTTTGGTTTCAGGGTTTTGAAAATTGAGTTGTGCATTAGACTCCATGGAGCATTAGATTTGAGTAAACACTACTGCATTTCATCACCCTCATTCCTTGCTTACCCTAGCCTTTCCTTTGCTGTCTTCCACCCTGTTCACTTTAGATTATTCATTCCATTGTGCCTTGGTCTAGTGGTTGGAGAGAAGTGCTTCTTCTGCCATTCTTTTGGAGACAGAGAAAAGGAGCCAATTCCTCTGTGCCTTGGCCCAGCAGCTGGTGAAAGCCTCTCTACCCATGTTCTAGCTTTGATCTTTGGGGGAGAGAAGAGTAACTAGCATCTGTTAGGCTGAATCCCCTACACAGCTGCCACACCTTTTGTGTGTTGCATCATTGTTAGACTGTAACCTTGAAGTGTGGGAGCTGGCAATGATTTATAAGATACCCTCAAAGCCCTTTTGGCTGAATGATAAAAAATGAATACAATAAACAAATCCCTTGGAACAAGATTTTTGTTTTTTTCTTATGCTCAGTATTGAAGGTGCAATATGAATGTAGTAGTGGGAGTATTGCTACTAAAAACCCCAAGGTTTAAAGACAAATTACATATAAACTTTTAATGAGTTAATAATACAAAAAACAATGGCATCAAAACATTAGACACAATTTATACAAAACTGGTCCTGTTCGGCTATGACTTCCCTTGTGAAGGCAGTCAGCCGTGGTTCCATTTTGTGTCGCTGGCTGTGGGATGTAGCTGGTGAACACACCCTAGTTGTACTAGATGAAGGATCAGAATTAGGTATTACAAATTCAGGACTAGATGATGTTATTGGGGAGCTACCATACTTTCCACAGTTTTCCATGCAGCTCTAATTTTATTGCCATTTTTCCTCTTAGTTCTTCTCTGCACTTTCCCTTACCTCTGCACCCAGTCTCAGACCTTAATTTCTCAAATTATGGTCATGGTTTATCATTTCCACCTCTGTGTTGACAGTACCCGTTGCCGCTTGTCTTCTCAGCCCATAGCACAGACTACTGAGATCTCTTGATGCTGGACTAGACTGTAGACTTTACTACAGCAATGTTTCTATATACCAGAAATTACACACATGTTCATGGTATGGGCCAAAAGAGGGTTAAGAAAAATGTGCAATGTCTTTTCTCTAAAAATGCGGGACTGCCCACACCCACAGTTATATTTCAGGATGCCACATTCCCTTGTGAAAGGGACTTTGTTGTTTCAGTATGTACAAAATAGGTTTGAAGCTCCCCTTTTCCTTTAACATTAATGATGCCTCGGCACGTACAAATGTAGCCAAGTGTTTGTAAGATGTTTCTGGTTTCTTCTGTGACCTGAGAAACAAAACAAGTTTGTATTATTTTCAAAGTAAATCTAGATGCCACTGATATTGTTTTTAACTCTTCCCGCATACTAATGGAGAATCCTCTTCACTCCACTCTTCTGTTTACCTCATATGGTACTTTTTTAATGATTGCAGTGGACAAGTGAATGTTCCATGATGTGGACTCAGACTCAGTCTTACTCTTTTGCTTTTCATAAGGATATAAATACAATGCCCCAATAATACAGTCTAGACTAACCATGAACAGCATGTTTTAGAACACGTGGTTCCCAACCTTTGATCCTCCAGGCGTTTTGGACTTCAACTTTTACAATCCCTAATTAGCTGGTAAACTGGCTGGGATTTTTGGGAGTTGAAAACACCCAGAGGACCAACAGTTTGGAATCCCTGTTCTAGATTATTTAACTCTAGTTTGCTGATGTCCTTTTGGAAGGATGAGAGGTGAGTGAGCATTGGGCCAAGAGATGCTACTTGGATATGCAGCTAAGTTAGTTAACTAACTTAATTCTGGCCCAAATTCTGACATATGCAGCTGTTTCACTCCATCATGAGAGACTAAATCTATACAGTTGAATTTTCCATGCTCTTAAAATAACCTCTTCTTTGAATCTGCTCACCCTAAAGAGATGAAGAAAAAAGGCATTGACTGGTGGATGAACTTGTATAACAGAGCTACAACCTTGTACTACTTCTCGTCAATGATACCCCACAAAATAACCTTAAAACAGCAAAGGCTGTATAAAAGAGTGAGGGAGGGGCAGCAAGAATTCATTCAGCAATTTTTCTATAATTTCAGCAGGCATCTAGAGAGACCTCCAGGTTCTTGAGAAGTCTCTGCAGATAATGCCCTTGCAGTACATCCAGTTGTAAGACAACTTGTCTGCTTACTCTTGAACAACATGGAAATGGCCATGGTGTGGGAGGGTTGTGCTGCTCACAAGTATCTTTGTGGTGGGATTTTAATTGTTTTATGGTCGGAACAAAATTATGACCTCCACAGCAACAAAAAATGTGTTTTGATGCTGTAAAATCTATGCCAACGTAATCAATGGTTGGCAAAAAGGATTTAAAAATTGCCACTGCTTTTTAGATGGAGATTTTTCTTCAGGAGTTGTTGGTTATCAGTAAAGACAAAAATAATACCTGTATTTTATCTAAGACACCAGTGCTATCCATCCGACTGGCCACATTTACAGTGTTGCCCCAGATATCATACTGTGGTTTCTGAGCTCCAATAACACCAGCTATTACAGGTCCATGGTTAATACCTGTATTTTTAAAGAACACAAAAACAGAAAGTCAGTTTGCTTCTTGTCACATGTTCAAAAAGGCTTCAAACTGAGTGATTGGCTTATTAATGTGGGTATGAAGTGTTTGGGATACTTTCTTGACATGTAGACATTCGACACATAAACAATGCAAGAGTCAAACTTGTTACAATGGTGTTAAATCCCAGTCTTGAAATCCAGACCTGCCTAAAGAGGACCCTGGTTTTTTAAGGTGGTAAAATGGGCAAAGTGAGTGATTACTAGTATGAAACTGTGCCCCTTCCTGCAATGGATTCAGCAGCCCTTTTTCCTATGGGCTTTCCTCTTAACCAAGTTGAATTCCAATATCAGGTCCCACTTGAAGCAACAGGGACAGGCCTTTGTGGGATAACAGGCAAGTGTAACATGAATTCT